GAGGGTTCCGTGCACCATCCTAAGGCCAAGGATGGCCCTGGCGAGGCATGACGTTGGTGCGGAAGTGCGTTCTGAGGGGGAAGTTCGACGACCATCGCGTGCCAGGGGTGACAAGGCGTGTGAAATAAGTTGCTGTTCCCCTCCCCCTGTCCCCCTGCGAAGAAAGGAGACGGGGGTCCCCTCACGAGCTCCTAGACGCACGTCTGAGCCTTCAAATGCTTCCAACATGGTCCAATGCGCCCCCACTGATGGCGCATGCTGTCCCCCAAGGAATCCCGAAGTCCGTGCACTCTTGTGCGTGAAGGTGCATGTGTATATGAATATATATATATATACACAACAATGTACATGTCGTTAGACGTGCATGCATACATACATCCATACATACATACAGACGTACACGTACATACGTCCATCCATATACACATACATACACACATACGGACATACATATATACATATACACACATGAATGCATGCATGCATGCATACATACTTACATACATGCAAACATCCAGCCATCAGCGCATACACACGTACATACATCCACCCATACATACATACATACACACATACATACATATATACATACTGCGCCGTTCCGAGAGTTTCCCCAATTTCGCCACCGTGCTCGCCGGGGCCATCTGGGATTGCGCGCGCACGATGACGCTCGCGGGGTGCGAGGGCGGACGGGGGCGATGTCGTGAGGGCAGAGTCGGCGCGCGGATGGGCAGGCCGGCGCCCCGTTTGGCAGGAGGGGCCCAGTACAATGCAAGGGCAGAGCGCAACCCCTGCCCGGGGTCACGGGATCGGGTTTTCCTTCGGAACTTAAATTCTTAAATCCCAAACGGTGTACGGACCCGAAAATGAGCAAACGGCATAGGACTTCCTCGAAAAAAATTCGGGTTCGGTCATGCGACGACCCGAAAATTTTATCGACCTGTATGAAAGTGGCCAAATCAATAGGATTTGTGCCACAAAAAATTTCGGGTCCAGTTCGAACGACCCGAAAATGTGCGAACCGCCTAGGACTTTTCGCAAAAACATCGATCTCGACGACTTCGGGTCCACTCCGTAGAAACCGAACATGGGCAAACCGCCTAGAACATCCGATGGCAAACGGTTGCTCGGTGGTTCCGGATCTCGTCCGAAGGAGCCGCCGATGAGTCGACCGTGCAGGACTTCCTGCACAAGACACGGTTTTCCAATGAGCCACTGTCAAACGGGAACGCGCCGCTCGCGGGATCGGGGCTCGCACGCGGGCGCGTTTGCTCGAGCCTGTCCAGGAGGCGCGCGTTCCCGCGCCCTTCCAGCATCGCGTTTGCTCTGCATTCGCGCGGCGCCGTTTCGCAAATCGGAATTAACTTTCGGAGAGCCGATGTATACACACATGCATGCAGGCTTTCATGCATGCATACTTACATACGTACATACATCCAACCATCCACGCATACACACATACATGCATGCATGCATGCATGCATGCATACATACATACATACTCACATACATACATACATACATGCATATATATACATACATACATACATACATTCATACATACATACATGCATACATGCATGCATGATTGCATGCATGCGTGTATACATACATACATACATACATACATACATACATACATACATACATACATACATCCATCCATACATACATACATACATACATACATGCACACATACATACATACATACATACATACATACAGCCATACATACATTCATTCATACATACATACATACACATACATACATACACATACATACATACATACATACATACATACATATGTGCATGCACACATATATGTATAGATGTGTGTGTGTGCATCCATACATACATACACCACTATACATGTAAGCGCATACATGTATACACCCATACATACATGACATACGCGTGTATATGTATATACATTCGTACATACACACATGCACACGTACGTACGTACGTACACACATGCACACCTATGTACATAGTTGGTCGAGGGTTTCCCCCCCCCCAAAAGCTAATGCCATCGCATGCCCCCCCCCCGTGGGCGTGGGCGTGGCATGGTGGCTCCCCCCCCTTCCTGTGGATGTGGTGTGGGTGTGGTGTGTTGCTGTGGGTGTGTGCGGGGTGACGCCATGGTCCTCCTCCCCCCCTCCCTCCGCCCCTGTGGGTGCGGTGTGGGTGCGGCATGTGGCTGGGATTGGCGTCATGTTGACAGCTCTGGTGCTCGACGTCATCGCCGCCTCCGCTGGTGGTGCCGTGGACGTCGTCGTCGTTGTCGTCGTTGTCGGTGTCGTCGTCGTCGTCGTCGTCGTTGTCGGTGTCGTCGTCGTCGTCGTCGTTGTCGTCGTCGTCGTCATCGCCGTCGTCGTCGTCGTCCTCCTCCTCCTCCTCCTCCTCCTCCTCCTCCTCCCCCATCCCATCTGGAGGGGGGGGGCGAGGACCCTGGGACCCATCCCATCTGGGGGGGGCGTGGGCCCTGAGCCCGCGATCATAATATACATACATACACACACCCACACATCCATACATACATACATGCATGTATGCATGCACTCATACATACGTACATCCATGCATACATCCGTACATGCATACATACATGTATGTATGCATGTGTACACATATACATACATGCGCCCGAAGATGCCGCCAAGACACTACGACGCAACCGTTCCCCGACGACCCACGATGACCCGCTACGAACCCTGGACACACGACGACCCCGAGCCTGCCGCTGACCATCTTCGACCCTCCCGCCGACCCCGCCCGCGCCCAAGGTGCGTGCTTGCCTCCTGCTGCCTCGCGTCCTCCTCGCTCCTCCTCCTCCTCCTCTCTCCTCGCTCCTCGCTCCTCCCCCTCCTCCTCCTCCTCCTCCTCCTCCTCCTCCTCCTCCTCCTCCTCCTCCTCCTCATCCGCCTCCTCCTCCTCGCTTCACGGGCCACCCGGTCGTGGCCGCTGGGCTCGGAGCACGGCGTCGCTGCCGCCGGGCACAGGGAGCAGGGACCCTGCATGACTGTCCCCCCCCCTGTCGCCTCGTCGTCCCCTCTGTGCTCGTGCCCTCGTAGTCGTCGCCGTCGTCCTCCTCCTCCTCCTCCTCGCTGCTTCTCCTCCTCCGGATGTTTTGGGCCGGCGCGGGCTTATCCCTTGCGCGCTTGTCCTCTGCGACCGCCTGTTTCCCTGAGTGTAGCACACATAGTTGCTTGCATGCGCTTGCGTTGCTCGGGCGACTCTGCCGATATTGAAGCTGATGTCCCAGTGTGGATCGGGCAGTCTTTTCGATCGCGATGGCCCTTCACACCTCACTTGCGTTCAGTTGCAGGCTCTACGAATGAAGGTGTCCCTCCACGGGCAGCCTGCGACGGAGTAAGGCGACATCACGAGTTCCAATGGTCCAGGATGGTTCCGCAGAGTGTCCCAGAGGATTTAATCACGTTGGAGGTAATCTAGTGTTGATTGTCCCACGTTTCGGATCGACACGGCCCCAAGGTCCGCTCAAAATGCCTCGGCGACGGTCCGAGAAGCCCCCAAGAAACCCAAAGATAACCCAGGATGTTCCCAAGGTGGCTTTCGAAGCTCCCACCTAGCCTCCTCCGAGGCTCCCCATGCCGAACGAAACCACTGCAACTGCTACCACGACGTATCGAACGCCTCTGGCTTCTCTACATCTCTGGAGGTGGCCGGAATGGCGTCGGCCAGCCTCTGTCTTGAGTGCATGCAGGAGCGAATTAAGCGAAGCTTAGCCCCGCTTTGCTCGATGGGCGAGGCCGCGTCCCTGGCGGTCACGGGCCAGACCCGCCGACGGAGGGGAGGGGAAACGGGGCAAGGCCTCAGCAGTGGACGGCGAGTGTTTCAAGGCTCACAGAGCCCCTCAGGGTGCCCCTCCTCTTTTCGAGGAGCCTTTGCTTCCACCAGACTCACGCTCCTCTTCTCCCTCCTCGTCATGCTCCCCCTCATCCTGCCCCTGACTCCATCCCTCCTTCACTTTCGCTTTCCTGCCCCTTCCTCTGTCCTCAGGTATGTCATCATCAGATGTGCTCCTCCCCCAGATCACCATCATCATCATCACCTTCATCATCATCATCATCATCATCATCATCATCATCATCATCATCATCATCATCATCATCATCATCATCATCATCATCATCAACAGCAGCAGCATCATCATCATCAACAGCAGCATCATCATCATCAGCATCAGCATCAGCATCAGCATCAGCATCAACATCATCATCATCACTATCATCATCAGCAGCATCAGCATCATCAGCAGCATCATCAGTATCGTCATCAGCATCATCAGCATCGTCACTATCATCACCATCAGCAGCATCACAATCACCATCATCATCACTATCATCATCGCCATCATCATCACCACCATCTCCACCATCATCCTCATCATCTCCACGACCACCATCACACCACTCGAGCTCACACCTCGGGTTGACTATGCATCGCATGCCCCTCCCTACACCTCGCTCTCCTTCACTCGCCCTCCTCCTCCTCCTTTTTGTAAATCCCCCCTTATCTTCGTCTTCCTCCTTCTCCTACCTTCCCCCTCAACCCCGTGCCCCATCTCTTCCCGAGAGCCCCTCTTCTGTCTCCACCTGCTCATCCCGCCCCTGCTCACCCTATTCCTCCTCATCCTCCTCCTTTTCCTCCTCCTCCTCCCTGCCCTCCCCGCCCCCTCTCACACGCATCCCCGTCATCCCGATCTCCCAAGTACATCCTCCTCCTCCTTTTCCTCCTCCTTCACCAGTCTGCCTGATCCCCTTCCCCCTCCTGATCGCCTTCCCAATCCTCCTCCAACTCCCCCTCCCCTGCTCCCCCTGCCTCCCCCTCCTCTTCCCCCCGCCCACCCCCCCTCCTTCAAAAGGGCCAGCGGCGCGGTGCTCGATCGTACCTGCCCTCCGCTGCGTGAGGCCCCCCTCCTTCCGGCGGCAGCTCCTCCAGGCAGGACGGCGGCGCGCCCGTTCCCTCGGTGCTCAGTCCTCTGGGCAAGACGGGACGCAGAGAGACATGCTGGTGCTGCGTGTCCTCCGCGGAGGCGTGCGTCCGACCCGAACGTGTCGTACAACCATCGTGTTGTCTATCGTTTCTCCCGAGCGCTACGGCCAGAGAGTGCCCCTTTATCACGGAGCATGTGTTCTGTCGGATTTGTCGGCGCGCGCGTCGCCTTTCGGGGGCGATGCGCAGGTAGTATGACAATCGACCCGTATCATAAGGATACAGGATCAGGCTGCAAGAGTCTTGGAAGACCGTTTCGACGCTTTGCGAGCGGGGCGCGGCCAGCGAAAGCGGCCAAGGATGGGCCGAGGAGGCCAAGATGCAGAAGTAACCTTGGGAAGGTTGCCCATCCTTCCCGTGCGGGTCGACTGCAGGATGCTTGGGTGCCGCCGACAGCAAGGCGGCCAACACGACTGCAGCGGTCGGTTCGACGGTCTGCAACTGCGGGGCAGCATGGGGCGCGCCCGTGCGGCAAACGCAGAGGAGCCCCCGGCCTGCTGAGGAGCTCCCTGAGCCTTCTCCGAAGCCACGCTCAGCGCCCCTCCTCTAACGGGGGCCCCACTGACGTGCACCTTGGCCAGTGACCCCAGCGCACCCAACCCTCCCCGATGTGGGCAGCGCAGCAGTGCCGGGAAGAGGCTCTAGATGGGGCAGCTTTCGGCACCCTTCCAAAGTCCCCGTCCGTAAGTACCCGCTACGGTTAGGTCGGGCCTGGACAAACATTAAAAACAAAATGAAAAAGTACCCCACAAATCTTCAAAAGTAGTCGAAACATCGTCCCGGCCTATTTTTGAAGTGTTCTTGCTCCTCCTGTAGGGTAGAGGGGCACGCCCGACTCAACGCCACGGTGGGCGCCGCTGACGCATCGTGCTGCGCAGAAGCTCCGCGGGCTTCCGAGCAGCCCCGCCGCCCGCGCTGCGAGGGCCTGCCCCCCCCCCCTCCCGCGCCCCCCCCCCCACCCCGCGCCCCCCCCGCCCCGCGGGCCCCCCCGCCCCCGGCCCCCCCTCCCACCGGTTGGGCGTGGCTTAATGGGGGGGTCACAAATGGGGGGGTCAGAAAAGGTCCCCTTTCGTGCCCCTTTCGGGCCCCTCCAGAGCCCCAGGGGGCTCGTTTAGGTACCGTTTGGGTACCTTTTCGGACCACGCTCGCCACCCCCCCATTTATGACCCCCCCATTACGCAGCGCCCAAACCGGGCGCGCCGCCGACCTGCCGGCTGATGCTCGGTTCGACGGCCCACGGCTGCAGCAGACTCGCGTGGTGGGCGCAGCCCACCCCCCGCGAGGCGCCCGCGAGCGGGCTGCACGGCCGCCGGACCGGCCTGAACCCCGGGTCTTGGGGGCAGTGGGGGCCAGTCCGCGCGAGAGCTTGCACGAGAAGCCCAACCCTCAGACCCCAGGACGTCCACTGACTTCTGGTGCGGGAGCGTCGCGCTTTCCTTGGCAAAACCCTCGGGACCCAAGAAACCCAGGGCACCCTGGAGGCAAGCAGGGTGTCTCTTGGCATGGGTCTGAACTCGGAGCAACTGGGCAGACCTTGCGAGTGGGTTGCAACCACCTTGCAACTGTTGCAAGTCACAGCGATCACTGCAATAGAGGCCTCCGAGTGGGGTCGGAACAGATGGGGAAGGATCGCCGATACACCGTCGATGCATCGGCGACATGTTCTACATGTAGCCGCATCGCCGGTGCATAGGCGATGCGGCGCGATCCTCCGACACCATCTGCTCCGAGTCTTTGAGGCCTAGAAACACGAGGAACGAATGTTCGCGCTTCGCGCAAAGCGCAGAGCGCGAGCAAAACTTCGCGCGCTCGCGCGCGACAAGCAGACAGTTCCCGGCATGCCTCCAGACAGTTCCCGGCCGGAGGTGCCACCAGCTCGAGAGGGTGGGACAGCCACCCCCCCAACTGGTGGTAGTGGTACTTTTGTCTCTGGTGACGCAGTTCGATCCCTTTGGCGGCGGTTATCGTGCCACCCCGGCACCACAGGCGCACGTCTGTCTTGTCCACGAGCCACCGCAGTGCTGCTGAAGATTGCCAGCGTCCCTGCTGAGAGAGGGTGGACTCCACCACGCGATGCCCAGGCGCAAAGAAAGGACGCCGAAAAAGGGAGCCACAACGGAAGGATAATAGTTACACTTGGCCCTCCTGGAGCCCGAACATAACGCACGCGTATCCACCGCCTGCCGAGGTCCCCGAGGCTCGACTCCCCAGGCGGTGCTCATGGATGCATCCCCGCCTCGCCACCATCGCGCCCCCGCGGCAACCCAGATCGACAGAGAGCGGCGCCTGATGCCCACGGCCGTCGGCGCTGCGAGTGGAGAGAACCCCTGGCGCCCGGGCACGGCAGGCGGGCTGGCGCCCCGTCCTGGGGCCCCGGGAGGGCTGGCGCATCGATGTGGCCCCAGAAGTCTGAGGCTGTCAGCCCAGGCATGCTCGCGCAGTGAAGAGGAGAACACGATCCGAAGGCTCTTGGCCGTCTCCGGCCTCCAGGGTGCCCGAACTGGGCTCCGGGACCGTCAAGAATCAACTCGGGATGAAGAGCCCCCCCTGGGCAAAGGGTCGGGAATTCCGGGACCCTGTACTGACTGGGGGGCGTGGCACTGGCCCAAGGAGCCGCCAGCTTCCCGCCACGTGGTGGCGCCCCTGGAGCCCTTTCTTTGGACGCCCGAAATGGGTACGGAAAGAATGGGTACAATGCCCAACAACAAATGTTGCTCCAAACCAGCAGCGGCCGCTGTTGGGCGGGCGGCTGTCTCAAATGGACACAGGCCGCGGCGGCGCGGACAGCGAGTCTTGCTCAAAATGAACAGGAACTGCCGTTGGGCATCGCACCCCTTCTTCCCGTACCCACCTCGGGCGTCCAGACTTTCTGGGCCCCGCGAGGGGTGCGCTGTGGGCGTCGTGATCTTGCCGCAGCGTGGATCCCAGACCCCCGACGTCATGTTTTTTTTCATGACGCGGCCCCCAGAGGTCCGGACCCATTCCCCAGGACCGGCTTTTCATCCTGAGTCGTTTTTTGACGGTCCTGAGGGCCGGTAAGGGCCCCCAGAAGAGGCCGAAAATAGCGAAAAACCTCTCGTCGTGATTTTTTCATGACTCGAGGGGGTCTGGGCTCCTGGGACCGGCCTTTCGTCCCGAGTCGCTCTGTCACGTCGCGGGGTCGGGCCCTCTTGGCCCGAGGCAATAATAATCGGGTCGGGCAAAAGGGAGGGGGATAGCAAACGAGGGGGGGTTTGAGAATCAGCTCATTCTCCCGGCGCCTCCTGGCGCCGGGGGCGGCCACGTATCGAGGAATGGGCCCCTCGTCGGGGCCGAAACCAGCCGCATGCCGCAGATTTCGTACCCCCCCCTTTCCCGATCCCCCCCTTTCGTCCGGTCCGAGGGTCAAACATCGCCCCGCGGACCTGCCCGGAGGTGCGCGTTCTGGCCCGGGCCTCAGGGCGGGCCCGGCGGTGCTGACGCGAGCGCCCCGCGAAGCCCAAGAGGCCTTCAAATCTGTGTGTAAACGCCTATTCATACATTTGAAGGGGAACTGGGACACAGAACTAAATTGGCACAAATAACCAGATTCCCCATATTTTTCAATAGTTATGTTCTTGGTTTTTGTATCCCCACACTTTTCATATTTCCCTGACCTTGTGCCGACGATAAAAAAGGGACCCCCCCTTCCAGGTTAGAGTTGATTATCCACGGACAAGAAGAGTTTGGTCAGGGGCGCGGGGCGCGGAGGCCGAACTTTTTTTACACTGTGAAAAATTCACCATCGAGGTTAACTTCCTTCTTATGTTGAGATAGCAACATCAAACGAAGCGAAGACGCTGTCGAGGATGTCTCGAGTCGAGTCGAAAGTTGTCAGAGGTTGTCAGAGGTTGTCGAGGTTGTCGAGTCGAAGACGTTGTCGATCCTCGATCCTCGGCTTTCGGTCCTCTCAACATTATCTCTTTCTCCTCCCACATGCTGGCCTCCGGCAGGCAACATGTATAATCCCCTCGCGACCCCGAACCTTCTCATCTCTGTGGGATTCATCTCCGTGGTGTTCGATAATATGTTGTTGGGGGAATCGACGATTACTTGTGTCTGTGTGTTTCCTTCCCTCCTGAACATTCTCATAAAGGCCGGGGACACCCGAAAGAGCAGCCCCACCCCCCCCACCCGAACGAACTGGGGCCCCCTGGGCCTCTCGAGAGAACCCCACGAGGAGCCCGAAGACGGCCCCATGCAGAGGGCTCCGGGCGGTTCAGGCGCGCTCCCGAAACGACCCCAGAGAACCCCAATACGCTTCACGACGACCCCAAAAAGAAGCCGTCATAAACCCCCAAAGATCGCTCCGACACGTCCTGAGAGGCCTCCCAGAGCACTCCCAAGAAGGCCCCACGAACAACATTGATCTAAGTTTCTGACGGTTTTTGGTGAGTTTAGGGGGTTGTCCTCTTTTCGGCCTCCCGACGCTCCAGGACGGCTGTCTTCTGGGCGTCCGAAGCCGCCTGGAGGGCTCGAAAATCGCCCCACAACCATCCGAAAGGGCTTCCAGGCAGCAGTCCAAGAGAGCCCCAAGACGGCACAACAGGGTTCCAAGATGGCCTAACAGAGCCCCATGACGGCTCAAGATGGCCCCAAGACGCCCTCCGAAGCATTCCAAATCGTGACCGGGTCGTTCCGGGAGACCGCTGTTGGAGGCAGGGTGGCCCGAGGAAGCCCCCAGAGTCCCCCAGAAGGCGCCCAGGAGGCCTTTAGAAGGCCTTCGAAAAGCCTGAGAGCTGAGGAGGATGGGGAAAACACGCAGGATAGAGCGAGAATGAACATGCAGGAAGGATAACGAAACACATTATTATAACGGTGATGCCGGACAAGGTAACAAGGAGTTATAGTGTCAGCTTGACCTTCCTGCCATTCCGCCTGCATACCAAACTTTAAGGACCAGGGTGCATGGCGCGAAGCGCCAATGTTGCCTTGCATTATATCCTGTTCAACCATATGGCTCTAGGTTTTAGTATAGTACATTACATTGCATGGGTCTGTATTATATAATACGGGTTGCTACCATGTTGCTTATATAAGGTGTAACCTCTTATGTTATACGACAGACTACCATGAACTAAGATACTATATCATATTATACAAAATCGAACCTTGATATACAATCATATAACACATGCCCAAATTCATTATGTACTATACTCGAATGTGAAGATGATATGTCATATTAGTTGGTTGTACTTTACATTGCGTTATGCCACATTCTGTCATCTGCTATAGTATAGTATAGTGCAGTGTCTCATGCTCCAGTATAGTGTTAAAGTAGGCTGCGTGTATCACGGCGTCAGTTACATTGTCGATACGACAACAATCTCTGTTGCGTTATATGTTAGCATATACAGTTCACTAACTTATAACATCGGTTAGCAGCATCGGTTCTGACATGTTAAATTTCAATGTGACAGGACCGTGTACAGTGCACACTGATATGTTCAATCGATATATTGGGCCATGCCAAATTATACTAGATGGCGTTCGAAAAGAATCCATTCTGGTGTTTTATATTATACTGCATCGTGCATTGAAGTCTGTCATACATAATTATACCATGTCTTGGTACAGCATAATGTAATGTAACCTTGTAAACTTACACGCACGTGCATGCCCACTCTCATACAAGAGCCATGCGCACATGCAGACGATGTACAGGCATACCATGTGAGACCGATAATTATATACCAGTGTGCATACACTTGTCAGGTCCACACCGACACGCCATTCGACCCACCGGCCTCGTCGACATACCGCAGTGTGGCATGTAGGCACCCCACACTCGACCATCATACCTCGCATATCGGCATACCGAGCGGTCTCTGCACGCGCGTGCTCATCGCCTCGCCGCCTCGACCCTCGAGCCTCGAGCCCCGCCGCCGCCGCCGGCCTGCCGCCCCGGCGTCCTCGCCGCGCCCGGCGCCGCAGGGCCGAGCGGCGGCGCCCTGCGGAGAGGGGCAACGACAGGGGCAGGCGCCGGCCTAGGGCGAGGAGCCTCGCCGATAGACTTGCGATGCCTCGCCGACAGATCGGCGATAGGCCATGACTCAGTGCGGACGCGGGCGCGAGAAACCCTCGCAGGAAGTCCAGCTCCGAAAACCCGCGGAAGGACCCAATCCTGAACGCGGCAGGTTCTTCAACGGCTGCGGGAAGTTGATCACCGCGCAGCTCGCGGAGCTAAGAAACCCAAGATGCCCTGACGGAAAGCAGATGGTTTCTTGATGCGCGCCCCCACTGTACAGTGGAGGCCCGACCACAAGAAACCTTCCACAAGAAACCCAACCCTGAGATCCCAGGGCGTCCACTGATCTTTGGTGTGGGAGCGTCGCCAAACCATCGAAACCCAAGAAACACAGGGCACCCTGGAGGCAAGCAGGGTGCTTCTCAGCATGGGCTTCCACTGTACATCGCCGATAGATCGGCGATAGGCCATCCTACAGCGAATCCGGACGTTCCTGAGCGGGGTGGGCGCTCAGGCCTCTACCGGCGATCAGTCAGCAATTCGGGGCCGCTGCACATCCCCCCCTGAGCCCATCCCCGTCCCCTGCAGTTGTCGCACCATGACTCCATCCTCCGGCGGCCGTTCTGAACGATCGGGACGCCCCTGGAACGCCCTCGGCGAGGCGCAGCTGCTGGAAAGCAACGAGGCTGATCCCGCCGTGGCCACGAGGGCGCCCCAGGACGGTCGAACACACCCAGGAAGCGAACCTCCCCGACCCCCGACGTCGTGATTTGTTCTTGCCGTGCCCCGCACAAATCTGGACCCCTTCCCGGGGACTGGTCCTCCCTCCCGAGTCGACGGTCCCGAGGCCCCGCGGGTGGCCGAGATGATGCCCGAGAAAAACCCCTTATCATATTTGTTTTAGGCCTATAGGGCTATCAGGCCTATAGGCAAATAGGGCTATAGGGCTACAGGCTATAGGGCTATGGGGCTATAGGGCTATAGGGCGATAGAACACCCGGGCACCCTGGCACCCCAGGGCACCTCTGGTCGGGGATCCTCTGACCCGGGTCAATCCAGACCCGGGTCAGTCAGGCCTTGCAAAATCCTGCAAAATCCTGCACACAAATCCGGGTCAACGCAAAGGATCCTGCAGGAAACTGCACCCAAACCGGGTCAATGCGACCCTGGCCCTGCAAGATCCTGCAAAATCGGGCGCTCTGGCTGACCCCCGTTTGCATTGACCCCCGTCTCTTGAGCCCCGTTTTGGGCACCCCCGGGCACCTCAGGCACCCGAGCACCCAGGCACCCCCGGGCACCCGGGCACCCGGGCCGGCCACCGAAATCGGCGACGCACCTCGCCTAACCATATATCAGCCAGCGTTGACTCTAAATAAAGTCGACAAATCAAATCGAGGAATCAGAGCAATCAAGCACGCTTGGAATCCGCAACTAAGCAAGCAAGCGTGCAAGCGCGCAGGCAAGCAAGCAAGAAAGCAAGCAAAGAAGCAAGCAAGCAAGCAGGCATAGGCATAGGCGTTGGCATAGGGGTTAGGGGGGAGGCATCGGCATAATTAGGCATAGGCATAGGCATAGCCATAGGAACTAGGGGGGCATAGGAATTAGGGGGGGCAACGGACCAATTAGCAGGGCTTGAGCTAGGACTCCTATAGGGCAAGCCTATTTGGATAATCAATCCGCTAGGACTCCTACAGAGGCAAGCTCAGATTGGCTCCATTTCGGAAGACCTGCCGTCGCGACTTTTAGCAGCGCGAGGGGGTCTAGGGCAGGGCGATCAAAGACCTCCAGGAAGCGAACCTCGACCCTCGCACCTCGAAGCCCGCCTCACCCCCTGAGCCCCTGCCCTCAGGTCGGGCATGTCCTCCTATACAGGCGGCTTTTGGAAGACAAGCGAAAACTCGTCAAACCAAACTCAAAAATAGCAGCAACAAGATAGTCAGAACCTCGTCCCCGGATGATTTTGCAACAACAACAACCACAACAACAACAACAACAACAACAACAACAACAATCACTTTACCCGAACGCTCAGTGTTCTCACCAGTGCCAGGGTTTTCATGCGACGCCAGCCAATACCCCCACTTTGTGGGGGGGCAGTGCAAGCTCTACCAAATATCCACACGACTCTTCGCCACCACCCACACCCAGCTTCCCGCCCTATGACGTTCGGACACTTCACTTCGTGGCCTGCGGACGACCGTGGCTACTACACTGGCGTGGAGTACACACCCACAGAAGTTGTTAGGACAGCGCGCGCGGGTAGAAATTTTGAAAAGTCGTGCAGGTGTTTTTCGAGGACCTACGGTGCGATTCGTGTGATTTTATGATGCGCGGTGCTAAAATTCTTAAGAAGCCCAATGGTTTTTGGAGATTTCGGCGTGCGCGCGCGAAGAAAAAACGAATGTGTCCCGCATGGTATTATTTGACAGGGATGATGGCCCTGGCAGGTGCGCAACCGTTGTCGCAGAAGTTCGAAAAAGTTGCTCGCAAAAGCCCGTTTGACAGAAATGTTTAAAAAGTGTTGGTTTTCCTACGAATCCGCAAGAGCGCGCGGGATGAGATTTTGACATTTTTTGTTGAAAAACCATTGGTTTTTTGATGTTTTTATGTTAAAATCGCTCCGAACACTAAGCTTTTGGAAGGATTTCGTCTTGCGCGCGCGAATGTCCACTTTACCTTATTTTTTGCAAGGGATTCTTGAAATTTGATTATATTAGAACAAGAAATGTCATTTTATAGTGTTTTTTGCAAGGGAAAACGGATTACAACAAAACAACCGGATCTTGATCACATCGTATTACCTGAGGCTTCCTCACGAAAATGATGAAAATGTAGCTGCGGCCTAGGCGGCGCAGGGGGGCCGTGCACCAGGGGTCCCAACAATAATTATTCTTTAGAATTAATAATGTTCAATTACTAGCACGTGGGGACACTCCGTTCTCACCAGTGCCAGGGTTTTCATAGGAGGCGGGCAATACCCCCACTTTGTGGGGGGGCCGGTTCAAGCTCTACCAAATTTCCAAACGACTCTTCGCCACCACCCACACCCAGCTTCCCGCCCTATGACGTTCGGACACTTCACTTCGTGGCATGCGGACGACCGTGGCTACTATTCAGGGCCCCGCGGCCGACGACGACGGCGTGCGCGCGCGAAGAAAAAACGAATGTGTCCCGCATGGTATTATTTGACAGGGATGATGGCCCTGGCAGGTGCGCAACCGTTGTTGCAGAAGTTCGAAAAAGTTGCTCGCAAAAGCCCGTTTGACAGAAATGTTTAAAAAGTGTTGGGTTTCCTACGAATCCGCAAGAGCGCGCGGGATGAAATTTTGACATTTTTTTCAAAAACCATTGGTTTTTTTATGTTTTTATGTTAAAATCGCTACGAAAACTAAGGTTTTGGAAGGATTTCGTCTTGCGCGCGCGAATGTCCACTTTACCTTATTTTTTGCAAGGGATTCTTGAAGTTTGGTTATGTTAGAACAAGAAATGTCCACTTTAGCTTATTTTTTGCAAGGGAAAGCGGGGGACAACAAAACAACCGGATCCGGACACCCGTTTTGCCTGAGACTTCCTCACGAAAATGATGAAAATGTGGCTGCGGCCTAGGCGCGGCGGGGGGGCCATGCACCAGGGGTCCCAACAATAATTATTCTTTAGAAGTAATAATGTTCAACAACAACAACAACAACAACAACAACAACAACAACAACAACAACAACAACAACAACAACAACAACCACAACCACAACCACAACCACAACCACAACCACAACCACAACCACAACCACAACCACAACCACAACAACAACGACTATTTCTTCAAATTTTGAATTTTCCTCCTGTAGAGGGACACGCCCGGCGTAAGCCCATCAGCCCCCCAGTCGTCGCCCCCGGCCTCCGCGGGCGCGGCGCCCGCCGACGGGCGCGAGCCCGAGGAGCCGCCCGAGCAGAAGACGCGCCTGCCGGTGGCCCCCCGCCGCGGCGACCTTGCGGGGCGACGACGACGACGACGACGACGACGACGACGACGACGACGACGACGACGACGACGACGACGACGACGACGACGGCGGCGGCGGCGGCGGCGGCGGCGGCGGCGGCGGCAGCGTCGATTGGGACGCTCCCGAAGCACTTCCAGAGCTCGAGGCAGCGGGAGGGGCAAGCACCACGCCTGGGCCTGGAGCCACCACGCTGACGCAAGCGGAGGGGAGGACGCAAACGGGGACGAGGAGCAGGGGAAGGCGGCTCCAGGAGAGGCGTCTATACATATATTTGCACATAGTTATAAATATACACACATCTATATGTATATATATATATATATATATACACATATATCTACATTTCCCCTCTGGCCCTCCCCGGCTCGAGGAAAGGCGGGGAGGACCACAGGTGCAAAATGGAAGAGCCTGCTGTTCCTGGGCCCGCCGCATCTCTCGCCACCCCGCGCCCCGGCTGGGCGCGCTCGGCCTGAGGGGGGGGGGGAGGGAGGGGCGGAGGAAGGGGAGAAAGAGTAGGGTGGAGGAGGAGGAGGGGGGAAGGGCAAGGACGAAGAGCGGAGAGAGGAGGGGGAAGAGAGGGCGGAGGAGGAGGAGGGCGGAGGAAGGGGAGTGCGGAGGAAGGAAAGGGCGGAGGAGGAAGAGGAGGAGAAGGAGATGGAGGGGAGGAGAGCACTGACTAACAACGTTCAGCCCAGACACAACCTCTCGAAAGTCCGCGCGGAATCCATGGGCCCGTGCTGGAGCCCCTTCCCTATACGCCCCATGCGCAGCGGGGAAAGGGTGCGGAGGAGGGGGTCCCGCACCGACCCGAAAGATCCGCGCGGGCCTCCGAACGCGTATGCTTATGCAATGTGCTTGCTCTTCTAGAGGTGGAGGCGGGGAGGAGGGGGGAAACACCCATTAGGGCAACGACAAATGGCATAAACATCATAACGCGGAGGTCCGCGCGGATTCCTCGGATCCGCGCTGGACCCCCCTGGCGGCGCCTCCGGCGCAGCCCCTGGCGCGCTCCGCGCGCCAGGGAGGGGGGTCCAGCGCGGATCCGAGAAATCCGCGCGGACCTCCGAGTTTTGATGTTTGTCCTTGCTCGTTTCCCTACCTCGGGGAGCCCGCTCACTTGGCGCTCTTCTTCTTCTTCTTGGTGTCCTGGTCCTTGCTCTGGGAGATCTTCTCGGCGAGCACCTGCTTCACGCACTTCTGCTCCTCGATGAGGAACGCCCGCATGACCCGGCCGCGCACGCATCCGGCGCAGCGGGAGCCGCCGTAGGCGCGGTTGACGCGCTTCTCGCGGCTCTTCAGCAGCCTGTACTCCTTCGGCCTCAGGCAGGGGATGCCGACGGCAGAAAAGCAAAGAAAAGCGCATCAAACATCAGCTTCTGGAGGCCCGCGCGGATTTCCCCAGTCTGCGCGGACACCCCCTTCCCACACCCCTGGCGACGCCGTTGGCACCGCCCCTGGCGCGCTCCGCGCGCCAGAGACTGGGCATGGGGCGGGAAGTCCAGGGTCCAGCGCTGGCCCGAGAGCTCCTCGCGGACCTCCGAAAAATCCTGTGAATGCCGTTCTTTGTTGTTCCAGATGAGCGCCTTGCCGCAGTCGCCGCACTTGGGTGGCGAGGCCTTCTTCTTCAGCTGCTGAAAGACGAGCCTGCCGCCAGGGGTCTTGACCTTCCGCTGCTTGTTGCCCTTGGTGTTGTAGCGGATGTGCTTCCTGTACGTCAGGCGCTGCACCATACTGCCAGAGCAGGGGGGCTGCCGGAGGAGGCTGGGTGGATGCTGCACGCTGCTTGCCGGCCGGTCCTTGAGCCAAAAAACGGCTCGTTTCGGAAGACAGGGGGAAGAGCATGAGGAGGAAGACAATGATGGTGAGCAGGAGAATGATTAGAATGATCCGCCACTGCGCCTGCACGATGCGGGCGTGTTAGACTGGCAGGGCTTTTGTACTCTGATAAGGAGCCCTCCTAGTCGCAGACAGGCGCATGCATCCCCCCTCATCCCGAGGCCACTATCCCTCATAACAAAAACCGCGGATCCGCGCTCTCAAGTCCACGATTATTTCTTTATTCGGCAGCATAGAGGGCCGTTTCACCATGTTTGAACTCACTCGCCAGTGAAAAGATTCCTTGACACTCAGCTCTACTCGCAATCGCCTCAAGTCCACGATACCTCGAATAAGACTATGAATCTGCGTCCCGAGCTTCGAAGACGGTCCAGGCACGCACCCAAGGCAACAAAGATGGCCCAATGTGACTCGAGCCGAGATGGCCCCAGTCCGGCAGGATATGATCTCAAGACGGCCCAAGATACCTCCACGAGAGCTCAAAACGGCCCCAACAGGACCTACAACAGGGCCAGACAAACAAAAACGAACATCAATGACTTCCCCTTGGCTCTTGAATGAGTTTGGCATTCTCGTCTTTTCGGGCATCCGCCATCTAAAGAGGGCCCAAGAAGCCTCCACAAAGGCTCTACGACGGCCCAGGAGCCCGAACGAGGGTCCAAATATTGCCCAAGATGACCTCACGAAGGCCCAAGAGGAATCCACGTCGGCCCCAAGTCGGCCCAAGAGGGCCTTCCGTGCGACACAAGGCGGTCTTAGAAGGCCCTGCGACTGCCCAAGACGGTGCCAAGGCGGCCCAACGACGGTCCCCAGGGACGCAACATACGTCCAAGAGGGCCCCAAGACGGCCAAAGAGAGCCCCAAGACGGCTTAACGGCCCAAGAAGGCCCCAAGGGACCCCCAAGACTGCCTCACAGAAGGCCAGGCATCCAGACGACGGCCCAAAGAAGTCCCGTCAGAACTCAAATCCACCGAGTCTGTCGGCGTTTGTGAGAGGCTTTTCGGTTTGAGTCGACGTCGTGGTCGTCGTCGACGTCGTCTTCGTCGTCGGCGTTGTCGTCGTCGTTGTCGCCGTCAGCGCTCCCCCCTATCCCAGTCCGCGGGCCCTCTTCGTCCAACATCCCAGCCAAAAACGAGAGAGATATCGAGCAACGTCGAAACCGGGTCGAAGGTGAGCCCCTTCCCTTTGATCCCTTCCCCGCCTGTGCGGGGAGGAGGCGGGGGAGGTTGTTTTGTTTAAAAGGGTGGGGGGGAGTCCACACCCCCGTGGGAGAGTACTCCTCCCTGGGAGAGAACCTTTCCCTTTCGATTCCTTGCCTCCCAGACGCCTCGGGCTCCCACTTCAGAGCCGGCGGCATCGGCCATAAGTATTTCACTATAGTGAAGACGACATGTTTCGCATGTGACGGCCTTCCTATTCCTCCTCCTGCTCCTCCAGCTCCTCCTTCTCCTCCTCCTCCTTCTCTTCCTCCTCACCATCACCATCAGCACCAGCATCACCATCCGAATCATCAGAATCATCATCATCATCACCACCGCCATCCTCACCACCACCATCACCATCATAACCATCATCACCAGAAGCATCGTCAGCATAAGCATTCGCATTAGTATCATCATCATCATCATCATCATCATCATCATCATCATCATCATCATCATCATCATCATCATCATCATCGTCATCGTCATCATCATCATCATCCGAATCATCATCATCCGAATCATCATCAGCAGCATCATCATCATCATCGTCATCGTCATCATCATCATGACGGTTCTCCAAGCCCTGGAGACACGAGTTGTGACAAACGACGGCCTCCCGTTCCTCCTCGAACAGTCGCCGCCCAGAATGCTGGGCTCGCACGGCGGCGAAACTTGCCGGAGGCAGCTGGATGATGATAAGAAGGCGGACGAGGAGGAGGAGGAGGAGGAGGAGGAGGAGGAGGAGGAGGAGGAGAGGGAGACATATTGTGACGGAGGGAAAGAAAGAAGAGGATGTGGAGAAGGAGAAGGAGGAGGGGCAGGAGGAGGGGAGTCAGAGGATCATCGATTCACTCTGAGCAAAGATTGGGCGTTCGTAAAGGTTCTGCAACAAGCTCAAGATGGGCGAATAGTTGCGTGAAGTGCTTGGCCTCAGGGCAAGACGTGATGGAACCCACCAGGCAGCTCTGAATATACCTGGACCCTTTAACATCCACCAGCACCAACCCGACCCACCACAACCGCCGCCCCATCCAGATAGCCCCACGGAACATCCGCACCTCCACCGTCTCCCTTCCTCCTCCTCCTCCTCGTCCTCGTCCTCCTCCTCCTCCTCCTCCTCCTCCTCCTCCTCCTCCTCCTCCCCATCCTCCTCCTCCTCATCCTCCTCCTCCCCCTCCTCCTTTTCGACAAAGGCAGCTCAAAGTCAGTCCCCAGACCCCTTCCCAAGGTCCAAACGCAACAGTTGATCGAGCTACGTCCAGCTGCGGCGACGAGGGGGCCGCCCGAAGGCCAACTACCATTGTCTCAACTTGCCCTCCCAAAGGGGACCGATACCGCTACTCCCTGGACCTCTCCTGTGATGCGTTCTGCCCCGGATTTCGGAGCGAATCCAGCCAAGACGACGAGGGCCTCCCAGAAGCCGCCCAAGGGAAAACAAGGCACGGTAGCAATATCGGAGGGAGCGCGTTTCACGGGCGCTTTTGCCTTGGGAATATTCGGCGGCGCGCTTGAACCGGGGGAGGGGCCCCCCCCCGAGCATCCGGCGCCGTCGAACAGAACCAGGGGGACTCCCCTCCTCGCTCCCCCCCGTCCCCGAACCCCCCCCCACCCCCCCGCGCGGCGCCGGCGCCAGCGCGGCGGCGGCGGCGGCGGCGGCGGCGGCGGCTGACAGCGCCGACGGCGTGTCGACGCGGCGACGACGACTAGGACGAAAACGACGACGACAAGATCCATGGTAGTCCTCTGTCCACGGCCCTGAGCGTCGGAAAATTGACGGGCCCAGAGCTCAGATGTAAATAAATCATTCGCGTTGCGACGCGTGCCTCTCGCGCGTTTCGTCGTCGTCGTCGTCGTCGACGTCGTGGTCGTCGACGTCGTGGTCGTCGTCGTCGTCGACGTCGGCGTGGTCGTCAACATCGTCGTCGTCGTCGTCATGCTCGAAGTCGTCGCGGCCGGCGACGTGGTCGTCGTCGTCGTCGTCGCGCACGTCGTCGTCGTCGTCGCCGTCGCCGTCGCCGACGTTTTTGCCGTCGTCGTCGTTGCCGTCGTCGTCGTCGCCGTCGTCGTCGTCGTCGGCTTCCCCGACGTCGTTGTCGTCTTCGCCGTCGTCGTCGTCGTCATCGTCGTCACCGGCGCCGTCGTTGTCATCTTCGCAATTGTCGTTGTTCTCGTCGTCGCCGCCGTCGTTGCCGTCGTCGCCGTCGTAATCGTCGTCGTCACCGTCCTTTTCTTCGTGCTCATCACCGCCGTCCTCGTCCGTAGTCGTCGTCGTCACCGTCGTCATCGTCGTCGTCGTCGGTCTCGTCGTCGCCATCGTCGGCGTCGTCGTTGTCGTCTTCATCGTCGCGGTCGTCAGTGTCGTCGTCGTGCTCGTCGTCGCCGTCGTCATCGTCGTCTTCGACGTCGTCGTGCTCGCCGTCGTCATTGTCGCAGTAGTGATCGCGATCGTCGTCGTCGTCGCCGTAGTCGTCGTCGTCGTCGTCGTCGCTGTCACCGAGGTCGCAATCGTCGCCGTTGTCGTTGCCGTCGCTGCCGCTGTCGTCGTGGACGTGGTTGCCCTCGTCGTCGTCGTCGCCGTCGTCGACGTCGTGGTCGTCGCCGTCATCGTCGTCGTCGCCGTAGTTGTGGTCGTCTTCGTCGTCGTGGTCGTCATCATCGTCGTCGTTGTCAACGCTATCGCCGTCGTCGTCGTCGTCGCCGTCGTCGTCGTCGTCGTCGAGGTCGTCACCGCAGCCGCCGACGTCGTCGTCGTCGTCTTCGTCGTTGTCGTGGTCGTCGTCGTCGTGCACGTCGTCGTGGTCGTCGCCGTCGCCGTCGTCGACGTTTTTGCGGGCGTCGTCGTTGCCGTCGTCGCCGTCGTCGTCAATGCCGTCGCCATCGTCGTCGCCGTCGTCGGCGTCGTCTACATTCTCGTGCTGTTCGTCGTCGTCCTCGTGTTGGTCGTCGTCGTCGTCACTGCGGCATTCGTCAACGTCGTCGCCGTCGTCGTCGTCGTCGTCTTCGCCGTCGTCGTCGTCGTCGTCACCGGCACGGTCGTCGTCGACGCCGCCGTCGTCGCCATCGTCGGCACCGTCGTCGTCGTCGCCGTCGTCGTGATCGTCGCCGTCGTCGTCGTCTTCATCGTCTGAGCCGTCGCCGACGTCGTCATCGGCGTCGTCGTCGTCGCGGCCGTCGTCGTCGACGTTCCCGACGTTCTTGTCGGCGCCGTCTTAGCCGCCATCGTTGCTGTCGTCGCCGACGGCGTCGTCGCGTCGTCGTCGTCGTCTTCATCGTCGTCGTCATCGTCGTCGTCGTCGTGGTCGTCGTTGTCGTCGCCGTCGGTGCCTTCGTCGTTGTCGTCGTAATCGGTTTCGACGTCGTCGTCGTCGCAGTCGTCGTCGTGTCCAGGGTCGTCGTCGTCGTCGCGCGTCGTCGCCGTCGTCGTCACCATCGTCTTTGTCGTCGTCGCCGTCGTCGTTGTCGCCCCGTCGTCGTCGCCGTCGTCTCGTTGTCGTGTTCGTCGCCGTCGTCGTCGATGTTGTCGTCGCCGTCGTCGCCTTCGTCGCCGCCGCCGCCGTTATCGTCGTTGTCGTCGCCGTGTTCGGCGTCGTCGCTGTCGTCGTCGTCGTGCCCGGGGTCGTTGACGTCGTCGTCGTCGTCGCCGTCGACGTCGTCGTCGTCGTCGTCGCCGTCCTCGTCATCGTCATCGCCGTCGTCGTCGTCGTCGTCGTCGTCGTGGTCGTCGTGCTCGTCGCCGTCGACCTCGTCGTCGTCGTCGTCGTCGCCGCCGTCGTCGTCGTTGCCGTCGTCGTCCTCGCCGTAGTCGTCGTCGGCGTCGTCGTCGTCGCCGTCGTCGACGCCGTGCGTCGTCGCCGTCGCCGTCGTCGTCGTCGTTGTCGCCGTCGTCGAAGTCGCCGTCGTCGTCGACGTCGTCGTCGCCGTCGTCGTCGACAGCGTCGTCATCGTCGTTGTCGCCGTCGTCGTCGTCGTGGTCGTTGCCGTCGTGGGCATCGTGCTTGTCGTCGTCTTCGCCGTCGTCGGAGTTCAAGTCGTCGCCGTCGTCATCGTCGTCATCGTTGTCGCAGTCGTTGTCGTCGCCGTCGTCGCCGCCGCCGTCGTCGTCGTCGTCGTCATCGTCGTTGCCGTCGTCGTCCAAGTCGAAGTCGTCGCGATCGTGGCCGTCGTCGTCGTCGTCGTCGTCGTCGTAATCGTCGTCGTTGTCGTCGTCATCGCTGTCGCCGTCGTCGACGTCGTCGTCGTCAACGCCGTCGTCGTGGTCGTCGTCGTGCTCGTCGCCGTCTTCGTGATCGTCGCCGTCGTCGTCGTCGTCGTTGTCGTCGCCGTCGTCGTCGTCGGCGTCGTCACTACCGTCGTCGTGGTCGTCATCGTCGTCATCGTCGTCGTCGTCGCCGTCGTCGCCGTCGTCGGCGTCGTCGCCGTCGTCGTGGCCGTCGTCGACGTCGTCGCCGTCGGCGTCGTTACCTTCGACGTCGTCGTCGTGCTTGTCGTCGTCGCCACCGTCGCCGTTGTCGTCGTTGCCGTCGTCCCTCCCCCAAGAGGCGGCAGAAAGTATTGGCGCCCGCACCGACCTCCACGCCCTGGGGCTCCAGGACGACTTGGACCGCACGCGCCTTGCGTCGACCTCGGCGCTCAGCTTGGCCAGCGCGGTCTGAAGGACAGGGCCCCCAAACAGCTCCGCCTCTTCCCATCCGCCTCCTCCTCCTCCTCATCTCCCCCCTCCTCCCTACTCATTCCGCGCTTCCTTCTTCCAACCCCCCACCACATCGCCATCACCACCAGCATCGCAACCACCATCAATATCACCATCGTCGTGATCGTCGTCATCAGCATCATTACCAGCACCGCCAGCGTCGTCATCAAAATCATTATCATCGGCTTCACCATCAGCATTCACACCATCATTATCATCACCAACAGTATCATCATACGCGACAGCACGGTCATCGTCAGCAGCATCATCGTCTTCACAATCACCATCATCAGCAGTATCAGCATCATCCTCATCATCACCACCATCACTATCAGCAGTATCATCAGCATCATCATCTGCATCTTCATCACCACCAACATCATCAGTTGTATCAGAATCATGAGCATCAGCATAGTCATCGTCATCATCACCATCCGAACCATCATTAGAATCGTGTCCACCATCATCATCATCATCATCATCAGCATCATCCTCATCAGTATCATAATCCCCAGCATCAATAACATCATCAGCATTATGAATATCATAATCGGTAGCACCATCGTCACCATCAGCATCATCATTCACATCGGCGTCATCAGCATCGTCGTCATCGTCATGCCCGTGAACATCATCATGATCATCATCACCACCATCACCATCACCATCACCAGCATCGTCATCATCATCATCATCATCATCAGCAGCAGCAGCATCATCATCATCATCATCACCATCACTATCAGCAGCATCATCAGCATCATCATCTGCATCTTCATCACCACCAGCAACATCATCAGTAGTATCAGGATCATGATCATCAGCATCGTCATCGTCATCATCGCCATCCGAACCATCATTAGAATCGTGTCCATCATCATCAGTATCATCATCATCATCATCATCATCATCATTTTCATCATCGTCATCATCACAATCATCAACAGCATCATCAACATTATGAGTATCATAATCGGTGGCACCATCGTCACCATCAACAACAGCATTTACATCGGCGTCATCAGCATCATCGTCATCGTCATGCTCATGAACATAATCACGATCATCATCACCACCATCACCATCAACATCATCGTCATCGTCATCGTCATCATCATCATCATCATCATCACCAGTACCATCAGCATCATCATCATCATCATCATCGTCAGCATCACTATCATCATCAACATCATCATCGCCGTCGTCATCATAATCGTTATCAGCATCAGATGCATCATTAGAGCATCAGCATCATCAGCACCGTCATCCTGATTATCATCGACACCGCTTTCGTTATCAACATCGTCAATAGCATAGGCATCGTAATCATCATCCGTGCCATCAACATCATCAACATTGTCATCATCAGCATCATCATCATCAGCATCATCAGCATCAACATCATCACCAACATCATCGTCATCAGCATCCGCCCCCTCATAACCATAATCGTTCTGAGCATCATTATCAACATCATCGCCATCATCATCACCGTCATCATCATCATCATCATCGTCACCATCATCAATATCACCATCACCATCGTCATCACCATCAGCAGCAGCATCATACTCGTCGTCGTCATTATCGTCAGCATCAGCATCATCATTAGCATCATCATCATCACAACCACCATCATCAGCATCAGCATCAGCATCAGCACCACCACCATGATCATCGTCATCGTCATCGTCATCAGCACCATCACCAACATCATCAGCAACAACATAATTATCATCACCATCAAATCCATAATAGCATCACCACCAACATCATAATCATCATCATCATCGACACATGTATCGTCATCGTCAATACCAGCCTCATCATCATCATCCGCCTCCTCATCATCATAATCATCCTGAATACCCTCATCATTATCACCACCATCATCACCCCGACCAAACCCGAAGACCCGAATTTCGGGTTTTGGAGGGGGTAAAGATTCCACCGCACGTGTTTTTGTTCAATGTTCTCCGACCCCCCCACCGCATTCGATTCGAATCACTGCTTGGCACCATGTCATCAAGTTGTCTCGCACCCCCCCCCCACACTGGAAATGGAGGGCAAATCGGGGCCTTCGGGTTGGGTTGGGGTGGTTTGGTGGGCGGTGGAAACTATACGCATCAGCGCGCGTACGCAGATTCAGCTCCAGATCCGTGGATCTGGCTCGCGGGGGGCCCCAGGGCTGACCAGCCTGGAACGTATCTCTATCCCTAAGCTGGGCATCGCCTCATCACAATGCCAATCTTAGGGATTCCCGTAGTTTTTCAGGGCGCATCCCTAAGATTGTCATCGCCTCTTGGCGTGTCAATCTTAGGGATAGGGATAAGTTCGAGGCTGGTGAAGGGCCACGGACTGGGGACAGCAGCCCCGAAACGAGAAGCCAGGGCAGCCTCACCCGGCGACGGAACGTGCCGCAAGCGGGGCCCGTCTCCCACCTGGCGGTCCCGGGCCAACTCCTCGGCGCTTCCTCGGGGCGCTCCCGGCTGCGTGACAGTCCACCCCCTGACCAACAGTAAGCAAGACTGCCCATGCTGGACCAGACGTTGACAACTCTCTGTCGCCAGATGGCTGGTTATGAGCCACGTCTCGATCGCAGAGTGGGGGATGCGGGCTGGGAAGGGGAATGTGGCCGCCGCGAGCGCGGCGGCGACCTCCAGAGCCGACCCCGAGATGTGGTTCGGGGTCGGAGATCGCGCAGCGAGCTCGAGAGCGCCTCCCCGGGGGAGCGGGCCCCTAGCGTGGCCCAGGAGCTCCCAGGCGCTCCCGCCGAGCTCGGCACGAGGCTCCAAGAGCGCTTCAAGGGGGCTCCCCTGGGAGCTCCTGGGAGAATCCCGTGGCATCTTGCAGGCTATTGCGAAGCGGCGCGGATCACGATCGACGCTACTCGACGCTAAATCGGCTCTGTCTCATCGACTGCCAGGCGCTAACGCACTTCTGGTGCACGCCAGAGACGGAATGCCGAGGACCTGCAAGGCTCCCATGAATTGCTGCCGAACACCCCTGCGTGCTCCCGCTACTGGCGTCCTCTCGGGCCCTGCGGGCCGCACCTGAGGCTGACCTGGGGCTCTCTTGAACAGTCTCGGGGCTCTCTTAGGAACCCATTGGGCCTCTAGCGACGTCGGCGATGCATCGGCACCGCTGGCGTGACGGACCTCGTGCTCCTCAGCACGATGCATCGGCGATGCATCGGCGATGCATCGGCGATGCGGCGCGGCCTTGGGCGTGCAAAAGACGAGTGAGTGCGATGAACCCCGGGAGTCTGGCTCCAGAACGAGACCCAGACCCCACTGCCCCCATCCCCAAACAGTGCCTCTCAGGTGTGGTTGAGGAGTTCCCTGTGCGCCCTGAAGGGCGTGCTGGATGCCGCCTTCTCAGCACCAGTCTACATCGTTTTCACAACCTCTTATGAGCCTCTCGGTCGCCTCTGGATAGCCTACCCCGAGCGTCTTGGGACAATATGACGAGCCTATTAGGGACGTCTGGGGAGCGTTGTAAGAGCAGACTGCGGCGTGGGAGCCTTGCAGGAGTATCTTGGAAGCCTCCTGACAGTCCCGTCGGAGCATTGACAAATCCTGGAAGATGAATGACAGCTTCTAGGGAGCTGCTTAGTAGGATATTGGGGATACATTGGGCGCCTGTGACGCGTCGCCAATTAGAAGCCGTTTGGAAGCCTCTTGAGCCTGATTTGCACCTCTTATGACTGGGGCCCTAGAAAGAGCTTCTTAAGTAGCATATGATGAGATCGTCTTGCGGGGCTTGTTTCATTGTCAGCACTCCCAATCCTCATCCCCAGCCCTTCCAATCCAAATCTCAATGTCCTTCATCGGCCGCGTAAGTGTGTACTGAAAGTTGTACTACACGCCAGTGGCATGTGTGCGCCCAGGCTCATGGAAACAAGAAGAGGGGGGCCACCGAAGGGGGCTCCATAACTTTCTGATGAGGATGTTTCGAACGAAACGGCCAGAAGACAATGCGGACGGGACGGGGCGGCTTCCCCAAAAACCGTTTCTGAGCTCTACTCCCTCGGAGAGGTGTGTATGCTAATCTAAATGCCAACATCTCCTCACCCTGATCTCCCTGGAGACCCGGAAAGCGCAGACCAAACTAAACAATAAGCAAGGCCCCTCCTTATCACGCCATAACGAACATACTCGGAACCATCCTCGTCACCAGCTTCATCTGCAGCATCACCACCAACATTGTCATCATCACTATAGGCATCTTTCTCGTCCTCATCATCGCGGCGAGGAGCGAGGACGGGGGAGGATGACCGAGGCAGAGGCGGAGGAAGGAGAAGTGAGGAGTGAGGAGGGGAAGGAGGAGGAGGAGGAGGAGGAGCAGAAGATGGAGGAGGAGGAGGGGGAGAAGGAGGAAGGGGAGATTGATGGATGGATGGAGGGTTGGAGGGAGGGGAGGAGGAGGAGGAGGGGGGGAGGAGGAGGAGGAGGGGGGAGGAGGAGGGAGGAGGAGGAGGAGGAGGCGGAGGAGGAGGAGGAGGAGGAGGCGCAGAGAGGAGGATAGGCAGAGGAAGCGACCGACGACACTGACGGCGACCACGACGGCGACGGCGGCGGCGACGACTTCCTTCAGGGAGGCGATGTCCACCGCGCTGGCGGGGCCCCGCAGGCGCAGGATGCCCTCCACGAGCTCCTCGGCCGCTGGGACCGCCCCGCCCCGCGCCCATGCCCATCGTGCTCTTCGTCCTCCTCCGCCTCCTCGTCCCTCCTCCTCCTCCTTCTCATCTTCCTCCTCCTCCTCCTCCTCCTCCTCCTCCTCAACACTCTTTTCTCCCTCCTCCTCCTCCTCCTCATCATCACCATCATCACCATCATCCTCCTCCTCCACCACCCCTAAGCCTCCTCCCCGTCCACAACCCATCCTCCTCTCCTTCCTCTTCATCCTGCTCCACCTTCCCGGGGCTTCTTCTCCCCACACCCCCAACCCACAGTGTCCCTGCTCGAGGTGGTCCTCCATCATACTCCTCCTCCTCCCCCCATCCATCATCATCATCATCATCATCATCATCATCATCATCATCATCATCATCATCATCATCATAATCATCATCATCATCATCACCATCATCATCATCATCATCATCATCATCATCGTCATCGTCATCAGCATCGTCGTCATCATCGTCATCAGCATCAGCATCAGCATCAGCATCTGCATCATGATCAGCATCATGATCATCATCATCATCATCAGCAGCATCATCATCAGCATCAGCATCATTAGCAGCAACAGCATCAGTATCATAATCACCCTCATCAGCAGCATCATACGCAGCATCAGTATAATCCTCAGCATCAGCACCATCATCATCATCAGCAGCATCCTCATAATCATCATCGTCATTATCATCAGTAGCATCAGCATCGTCATCAGCATCACAATCATCATCAGCAACATCATCATCATACTCATCATCACCCGCACCATTACCATAATCACAACCACCATCATTTACATCATCATTCGAATCAGCATCGTCGTCATCATCATCAGCAACAACATCAGCATCATCAGCATCATCATCAACACCATTCGCATCGTCATCCTTATCATCATCTGCATCATCAGCATCATCATCCGCACCAGTATCCGCACCATCAGCAGTATATTCAGCACCATACGAATCAGCATAACCATCCACATACGCATCAGCATCAACATCAGCATCAGCATGATCACAACCATCATCATCATCATCATCATCACTATCAGCATCATCATCACCATCACCATCACCATCACCATCACCACCATCATCATCATCATCATCATCATCATCATCACAACCATCATCATCATCACCACCAGCACCATCGGCAGCAGTAGCACCATCATACTCACCATCGTTATCTGCATTATGAGCACCCACCTCCATCTCCTGCTCACCGTCATTGCCATCATGAGAATCAGCTTCAGCAACAGAGTCATCGTTATCCTGATTAGCACCAGCACACCCACCATCACCATATTCACCATCAGCATCAGATTCATCTCTCATGACTATCCTTCTCGTCCCATCTCCCATCCTGCGCATCCTCGCCACAACTCAACCGTGCCCTTAACCATACTCCTCATGGTCATCCCTGGTGACCCTTTCTTCCATGACGCTGCCAGAACTGCGTGCGTCACCACCCGACCTACGGCATGTTCGTGTCGTGCCGACCCTGGCGTTGGTTCCTGACACCGCGCTGGATCGTTCAACCTTGAACGATCGGCCGCTGCCGCAACGTCCAAATCGTTCCACATCGATCGATTCTGGGTCGCCCGCGGCGATTAACCTTGAACGCCCGCGCGGGGGTCGCCGCTGGTCGACACGACGCGAACCTACCGTACCCACGCGCCGCCTGACCCCATCTGACTCTCAGACGCCCGACTCGGGCGAACAGAAAAAAGACCCCACGCGGTGGGAAGGGACGGCCTTTCTTCCATGACGCTGCCAGAACTGCGTGCGTCACCACCCGACCTGCCCACGCGCAGCCTGACCCCATCTGACACTCAGACGCCCGACTCGGGCGAACAGAAAAAAAGACCCCACGCGGTGGGAAGGGACGGGTGGGATGGTGGGATGTCAGACGTCGGGCGAGCGCCCCCCAGCGTGCTTCTCTCACATCATCTCCTCCTCCTCCTCCTCCTCTTCGTTTTGTCCTCTCTCCTACTCCATCCTCGTCCTCCTCCTCCTCCTCCTCCTCCTCCTCCTCATCCTGCTCGTCCTCCTCCTCCTCCTCCTCCTCCTCCTCCTCCTGCACACCCTTCTCCTCCTCCCGATCCTCCTCCTCCTCCTCCTTGCGCCCGTCCCGCTGCACTCGTGACTGCAAGAGCGCAGGCGGATGAGCGCAAGCCTCGCGCTCTCCCTGCTCCTCCTCCTCCTCCTCCTCCTCCTCCTCACACTGCTCCTCCTCCTCCTCCTCCTCCTCCTCCTCCTCCTCCTCCTCCTCCTCCTCGTCTCCTCGTCCTCCGCCGCCTCCTCCTCCTCCTCACACCCTGCTCCTCCTCCTCCTCCTCCTCCTCCTCCTCCTCCTCCTCCTCCTCCTCCTCCTCCTCCTCCTCCTCCACTTGCTCCTCCTGCTCATCATGATCGTCATCATCCTGCTCCTCCCCCGCCTCCTCCGCCCTGGTGCTCCCTCGTGCTCCCCGCTCGGCGACTGCCCCCTGGGGCCGGGCAGCGCGGAGCAGCCCCTCGGAGCTCCAGGGCGGGGACGCGCCCAGCGGCACGGCAGGGGGCCCGGGCACGCGACGTTTTGACTTTCGGAGGTCCGCGCGGATGCACGGGCCTCCTGGAGGCCTCCCAGACGGGGTCGGAGTAGATGGGGTCGGACGATCGCGCCGCATCGCCAATACATCGGGGATGCATCGGCGATGCACAGGCGATGCACTGGCGACGTCGGCGGTGCAGCCGCAACGTCGACGTGAAGCAAATCGGGCTCCACATCGAGCCGCATCGGCGATGCATTGGCGATGCGGAGCGATCCTCCGACCCCATCTACTGCGACCCCATCCAGGAGGAGGATCGGCGCTGGAGCCCCCCGGCGGGGGGTCCAGCGCAGACCCGATCAATCAGCACGCGCCTCCGGAGGTCCACGTATGTCACTTCTTGCTCCTCGACGTTCGTGGTCCCGGAAGTCCCGACCCTTCCCCGGGGTCAAGCTCTCTTCCCGCATCGCTCTGCTGACTGTCCTGGGGCTCGGAGGAGGGCCCCCAGACGACGAAGACTGCCCACGACCTCACGTCCTGGGACTTCTGCCACGACGCGGAGAGGTCCGGGGGAGGCCCCAGCAGAGTCGGCACAGCCGGCCCCCGACGGGCAGGGTGCTGCCCGCAAGAGTGCGGGGGGAGGGGTGGGGGGTGGGGTGCCCCTTGCGGCCACGCTGCCCCTGGGCCCATGGGCCGCGCACGAGATGGTTCCCGGTCCCTCCTGCCTCTCCTCTCCCTCGCCTCTCCTCTCCCGCTCCCTCTCCTCTTCTCTCCCTCTCCTGTCCTCTCCCTCTCCTCTCGCTCTCCTCACCTCTCCTTCCCCTTCTCCAGTCTCGGCGCGAGTTCTCTGACCCAGCGCGCAGCCACGACACGAAGCGCCTGACAGTTCCGTTGATCGCATCGCGAGAATGGACACACGCCGTCCCAACGTGCGACTGATTCGTGTCCGACCAGCTTTCATTATCCGCTCGCACGCGCCGTGGCTCCAGAGGGTGAGCGCCGTGCGCCTTCAATTCCAACGCAGCCCAAGCTGCCAAGCAACCGCCAGGACACGCGCCTGTGTCGCCGCACTCCAAAGCAGTGGCGGCGTCGACCGGGCAGTCGCTGCATACAACGAGCTCGCTTACAAACACCAAAATGGACTTCACATCTTACACGAGCAACATCGCTCCCTTTAACCAAAACTGAAGGGCAAGCTGATGAAAGTGTGCGAGACATCTAAGATCAACTATAGGCCATGCTGCCCTACCCCCTGACGCACACAACTTGTTCAAGCAATGACTCACCAGGGTCCACGGCTTCGGCCGATGCCCACCAGAGCATCGACCCCTCCACCCACTCATAAGCCTCGATGCACATAGCCAGGATGTCCCCATCGCCCTGGTGCCCACAGGGGCCGGGGACGGCACATCATATGCTAGTAGCATCTCACTACGCACGCACGCTAAAAGAAAAGGACAACCTCCTGCAGCAGATCCTCGCCCTAGCCGTACTGGGACCCGTCAACACCGACTACCCAAGAAAATAGCTTCTAATCCCTGTGCTCCGTGGGCCAGCCGAGGCTACCAAACCTACGCCACATGCGAAACGGATGCCGTCGCCGTTGCGCCGTCTCTGTGGGAGCTCTTCGCGCCGCTGCCCTCAGAAATAGCAGCGATCAACGGCACGTGGCAGCCGGGAGGGGCGGGCACTGCCCAGCCCGGGGCCAAGGAGCGTCACGATACAGCCAAGCGCGACCAGTCACGCAAACAGATCGACGCTGACCTCACTGACGCTTTCACAGCCGTCTGCTCTGCCCACTTCCGCACGGTCCCAATCCAAGAACCCATGAAGCTGCTAGCACACCACGGCACGGTGACAGGCAAACGGAGACTCACCGCTACCTTCGGCATCAGGCCAGCCGACGTCCCGACAGTCCTCTCTGCTTCTGGGCAGGGAGGTACCCCGTTTGGCATCAGCTACCACGGCGCGAGTGGACCTGGACCAAGCGAGCACGTCACCGGAAGGTACCAGGATGGTCACCAAACCACGCGCTCCGCGCGGGCCACCATATATCTACAAAACTTCAAACCTCCGGAGCCGTCCGCGCCGACAAACGAGCCAACACCATGGTCAAACGGGACACGGAAGAGACCAAGGCGGTGGCTGCCGAACTCCGAGGAGCCGTCGCGGCACTCGCTATCACCAATGATGCAGGAGGAAAAGCCCAAACAAAGTATTTGTTGGGCTATAGGGCTATGGGGCTATTGGGCTATAGAGCGATGGGGCTGTGGGGCTATAGAGCTATGAAGACATAGGGCTATAGGGCCATAGGTCCATAGGGCTATAGGGCTTATACTGCTACAGGGCTAGAGGGCTATAGGCCTATAGGGCTAGAGGGATATAGAGCTATGGGGCTCTAGGCTCTAGGGCAATAGGGCTATAAGGCTATAAGGCTGTAGGGCTATAGGGCCACAGGGCTATTGGGCTATAGGGCTATAGGGCTATAGGAACATAGGGCTATAAGGCTGTAGGGCTATAGAGCTATAAGGCACCCGGGCACCCGGGCGGGCCGCGGAAATCGGTGGCACACCTCACCTAACCATATGAATCCGCCATGACCCCTACAGAGGCAAGCTCTGATTGAGGAAATAATCCCAGGAACCGTCGCGGCACTCGCTATCACCAAATACCGCATCGCAGACATCGAGCCCCAGAGTGCCACCACTACGCAAATCGCCAAAGTCCTCACATCCCTCAAAAGGCACTGCGAAGTCCAACACACAGAGTGGGACAAGGCGACCAGGGGTGACTTTGCTATCGTCAAGGCGGCAACGCCCCCACCTAACACCACCGTGCACGTCCAGGGCTGAAGCAGCCAATGGACCCTCGCCAAGGCGGCAGCCCCCGCCACGGCGGAACCACCGAAGTCGCCGACGGCAGAGACTGTCTCACAAGCCGCCATCACAGCGGAGTCACCCACGCAGGGGTCGCCACTGCACGGCCCAGGCGCCCACGAGGCGCCGACCCTCCAAGACGGGGCTCACACCAGGCCGTACCGCCAGACTCTGCCGGCACCACTGCCGAACCAGCTACAAGGGGCGGCGGCGGCAGCAACGCCACCAGGGACGAAGCAGCGGGGGTGCCAACGTGAACGGAGCACGCCAGCGCGCTGTCAGCGTCGCCAGGCGCGCCGCGGATGCCCCCGCGAGCCAGGACGGCCCCCATAGCCATCCAGGGCTCCCGACCAGGCCATCCCGAGTCAGGCCGACGCCCGCTTCCGCAGCCTGGAAGCAGACCAGCAGCGACCGACAGACAAGACACATCGACCTGGATGCACTGCTACCCTGCATGGCCAAGAGCCATATCACCCTGGCTCAACATTGCTACCAGCTAGAGCAAGCCGTCGCAACTTTCCAAAGCGAGCACCAGCCTCAACACGGACTTGCCAACCTGCATGGCCCACATGGCACCGCGTGTCACGCTGGCACAGGTCCAAGCTGCACCGCACAGCCCCAGCACCCACACCCGCGCACCGAGCCAGCCAGGACGAGTAAGTGCTGACACCACGGGCAGCGGGAGCAGCCCGACGGGGGCGAGGGGCAGGAGTGTGACCTCTGGGCCATGCCGCCAAACCGCGCGCGCCCCGAGCCGCCGCCAGGCCCATGCTGAAGGAGCCTCGATGGGTCCCCAATCACCCCGCCGAGGTAACAATGCCCGACCGAATGCTGCTCACACGTGCGCGCTTCTGCAGGGGCAGAAGAGGCGGGCTTGCCACGGCACGGCTGCTGTCCTGTGCTTTCTCCGCTGCCCCTTCCGGTCCGCCGCGGCATTGCTGGCCTGCCCGAACTCGCTCAGGCTCCTACAGCTCCAGCGAGGGGCGAAGCAGTGCCTCCGCGGCGTGTGGCTCAGAGGCGCTCCTGCCGCCCGGCGCGCACACGCGGCGGCGCCCTCCACGCCACCGCCGTCGTGCACCTCGGGCCCAGCAGAGCGGCCCGGACCCGGGGCCGAGGGGGGAGGGCAGTTCCCCGCCCCTGCTTCTCAAGCGGCACCTCCCGCCACAGGAGGTGGGCTCGGCGGGTGCGAGTATACCCAGCGCGCCCGGACGGACATCCCGCCCGAACTGGTGCACTCTCCCTCTCCCTCTCCCTCTCCCTCTCCCTGTCCTCTCCTGCCCTCTCCTCTCCTCTCCCTCTCCCTCTCCCTCTCCCCCTCCCCCTCCCTCTCCCTCTCCCTCTCCCCTCTCCCTCTCCCCCTCCCCCTCCCTCTCTCTCTCCTCTCCTGCCCTCTGCCTGCACGAGATCTTCCCTTTCCCCTCCCCTCCTTCCGAAAGGGGGGGACGAAAAGAGAGGGGGGAGACACTGACCAGGAACGTGATCTTCCCTCTCTCCTCCCCTCCTCCTGAAAGGGGGGACGAGGGGGGGGAGACAAACACTGACCAGGAACCGGCGGTGCGTCGAAGAACCGATCGGCGACAGGCCCTCGAGGGGACCACCGCGCGCTCCTGGGCGGGGTGGGGGTCCCCAGACCCGGTCGGCGATGGATAGGCGAGTGGGGGCGGATGCCGAGCCAGCACCCCCCCCCCGTCGTTGCCCCTGGTTCTCACCTCCCTCCTCCTCGTCCCCCCAGGAGCATCCCTCTTGAGAAAGAGAGAGAGAGAGAGAGAGAGAGACAGAAAACAAAGAGAGAGAGAGAGAAGGAGCACAAATGCTTTGCCCCCCGCGCTCGCCTTGGAAGACAGTCCACGCGTCCCGTCAGCGTCGAGCGCACCGAACAGGTCACCGACGTCGTTGATGGTGATGCCCATGGCGCTCAGCCAGTTCCTCACGTCACGATAGCTGAGCACCCGGCGGAACTCGTCGTAGTCCACCCTGCCGTCTCCGTTCACGTCGGCAAGCTCAAATCCGCCTCCCCGCCTCTTGTCGGGGTGCCGAGCTGACTCGAGGCTGCGCCTGACCCCCGCGTGCGCACCAGAAGCTCTCACCGAGCCGGGCCAAGCTGCCCGGGTGCGGATCTTTGGCGCCGGCATATGGCACGACTCGACCTCAAGCATCCGGACGTCACGACTTCTTCGAGACGCGGGCCCCCGACCAACCGACCACTTCCCTGGGACCGGTTTTTCATCCCGAGTCGCTGTTCGACGGTCCGGGGAGGCCAAAAACTGCGAAACGGCTCCGTCTCGATGTCTGTCGAGGCGCCCGATGTCTGGGATGTCTTCGTGCGACGAGCGCGCTCGCTCTCCCGGCAGTGCCTGCACTCGGGGCTTCCGACTACCCGTAAGTCGGGCCTGTCCCCCTACAGGGGGGATGTTCGACAAAAAATGAAACTACCCCGACAATGCTAAAAACATACTCCAAAGATCATCTGGGGACTCTGTTTTGCATATCTGTGGACCCTTTTGGGGCATCTTGGGGGTATTTTTTTGTAACAGGGGATGCGTCGACCCCTATCCCAGGCTCCGTGAGGTTTTCGAGAGGATCAACAATTTGGGGCCCAACCCTGGGATATACGAGGGGGGGCGTCCATCCTCGACAGGGGTGCGTCCGAATAGCCCCCTCGGGATGTATCCCAAGATTCCTCCCCTTTTCTGAGCGACCAAACTTTTCTGGCGGAAGTCGGGGATTGGGGGAGAGAAATCGCCTGCGATTTTGCGTTTCGTCGAAAATCCCCCTGTAGGGGGACACGCCCGACTTACGAAGCTGGGCAAACCTGTCGGCTCCTCGCCGCCCCGCGGGCGCCGCCGCGCCCGGCCGCACCCCGGGCCTCCGCGCCGCGGCTCCGCGGCGCTGCCGCCCCGCGGCCGCCCCGCGCGGGCGCCCCGCGCGGGCGCCCCGCGCGGGCGCCTCGCGGGCGCTCCCGCGGGCGCCGCGTCGCGGGCGCCCCGCGCGGGGCGCCCCGTGCGGGCGCCCCGTGGGCGCCGCGCGGGCGCCCACGGGCGGGCGCGTCGACGTCGCCGCCGCGCGGTCGCCTCCCGGGCGCCCTGCGGCCGCCCCGAGCTTATGGGGGGGGGGGGGGCACGTCGGCGTCGCGCCGCGCACGGCATGGCCCAACGCGCAGAGCTGCGCCGCCCAGGCTCGGATGGCACGGCTCACACGCTGTCGCCGCCACCGCAAAGCTTACACCACCTGGCTGGCACGGCAGAGCTGACTCCGCAGAGATTCCACGGCACACTTGGGTGATAGAACGTAGACGCCATAGCTGCCAACTCCAATTCATGCCGCAAACCTTACATGGCATAGCTTGCACCACGTAACCTATACCGCATATGATTAGCATCGCGTACCTGGCACGGCTTCTTACACGGCATAACATACACCCCATAGCTTACACCCAGAACTGCCACCTCGAATCCACACCGCAAATGTTACACGACATGCCTTCCACCATATAAGTTGCACCGCATAGGGTTGGCACTGCTTACCCGACATAGATGTTACCACATAGCGCTCACCGCATAGCTTCCACCTCCACGGTGCAATAACGCTTGATTTGGGGTCAACGCTGGCATGTGTGTATGTGTGTATGTGTGTGTGTGCTTTGACGTGCTGTGCTGTGCTGTGCTGTGGGTGAGGGAGGAAGGAAGAGGAGGGGGAGGAGGAGGAGGAGGTGTGTGAGACGCGGGTGCGGCGCGGCAGTGAAGAAAACCAGAACCCCACTAAACCTGTGGGGAATAACGCTTGATTTGGGGTCCACACTGGCTGACATGCTTTCCCACGACAACTCTTGCGCGTATGGGGCTCTTCCTGGGCCGCCTAAAGCAGCTCGCTGGGCGCTCGCCAAAAATTGCGGCCACTGCCGCCGCGTGGGCGCCCCGTGGGCGAACGCCGACACTGCGCCGGGTGGGCTCCGCGAGGACTCGCCACGCTGCCGCGAGGTGCCGCCCTCGTGCGCCTCTCGTGGGCGCCCCGCGCGCTGGGGCGGGTTCCCCGAGGACTCGCGGCACTGCCGCCTCGCAGCCGCCTCGTGGGCGCCTCGTGGGCGCCCCGCTCGCCTGGGCGCGTGTGCCCGAGACTCGCTGGCGCCCGGGGGCGCCTCGGGGGCACCCCGTGGGCGCCCACGGGCGCTGGGTGGGCTTCCCGAGGAGTCGCCGCGTTGCCGCCTGCGCCGCCACACGTGGGCGCCCCGTGCGCTGAGCTTCCTTCGTGCACCACACAGCGTACACTGCACAGCTTGCACGACCCAGATTGCACGTTGCGGGTGGGAGGGTGGGATGTTTGCACGAGCAGTGGAGAGGGCAGCTTCAAGACGGTCAACATTAATTACACCACATGGGTTCCACCACATGGCGTACACCGCATAGCGCACACCGCCTGCATCCCACCGCACAGCGTACACGACATGGCAGATCGGCGTTGCACAGTTATCGCATCTAGTTCACACCGCATAGCTTTCGCGACACAGCTTACACCACATAGCGTACACCACGTTGCTGTCATATCCATACATCGCGCGGCACTCTAATCAGCGCGGGAATCTAAGTTGAAAGATGGGCCGAGGGGGAAGAGGAAAGAGGAGAGGTCCAACGCGGGGTCCTGAATAGTCCTCAAGAGGGCCCCCAAGACGCCACAGAAGAGGCTTCCGTTTACCCCTGCGTTTAGATGGCGTTTGCCACCCAAGCGCTTGGGGCCACAATGACACCGATCGCCCAGGATGCGCCCAGGAGAGCCGAAGACAGGGCTGACTCGGCCCAGAACATTGCAAGGATCCTCTCAAGGACGTTTTAAAGGAGGCCAACTAATGGAATACGCCATCAAGAAGCCCCTACCCTGACCAAGCTCTGGCTCGGCAATCAGCGAAACTGGCACTGTCGAAAGGAGGAATGGGAATGCTGTGACTCGCACGAGGCATACTCGATATCGAATGCAATCATAAGGCATGGATTCCGGAATCGAGGCTACATTGTACAATATACGACATACATTGTCAAACAGTCATATAAACGTACACAACTATATATAAATACATACCTGAGCGGCTCTGTCCGAACCAAAACTGCAATCCAGATCTTCCAAGCGGCAACATGCCGCAGGCGCCCAGATAAGTCCTCCATCTTCGCAGTGAACGCACTCTGCGAGCGATTAAACTCATTGATGATGATGCTGTTGTCATTGTCGGCGACCTTGAACGTCTCATGTATCAGAACGCCAGCAATGACCTCGATCATGCAGAAGCCGAGAAAGAGCTGGTGGATCAAGCCAATCGCAATGTACCATTCGCTGATTTCTTCACTCAGGAAACGCGTGATGCCGTACCAATTGCCAAACAACATCTCAAACATCGTGAGGAGTGCCTGCGAGGCATAAATACGGAAAACAACTCCCCTCCATCCATCGCCGTATGAACGAGTGATTGCATTGGGAAGGCTCTTCCATCTTCCACGATCTGGGGATAAAAAAGATACCGATACCCATACTCCACGGACCTCCCACGGAGTGTAATCTGAGACTGGACCCTCGCGGAGAATCCGGACGTGTCGACGAGGGCTCTCCAGGACGAAAATGCCTCCCCCGACGAAGGTCCCACAGCTCACGAGAAGGCGACTGCAGAAACCCACCTCGCCGACGCACGCTCGCTCTCAAAAAACCGGGCGGCGCGCGCGGGTGAATGAAGGGGCCCTATACGGAGGCAGAGATCCCCCCGGCGAGGCGCGGCCCTCCACGAAGGAGGCGGGCCCGGAGGGAAACGGGCTCCTGGATCCCGACGCCCTCCCCCGAGACCAGCTCTTCATCCTGGATCGGGATCTCCTGACCCGGGTCAATCCAGACCCGGGTCAGCAGGAAACCCAAAACTGCAATGCAGGAAAAAATCTGCAACAGGTCTTCGCAAACCCGGGTCAGCCAATATGCGCGGCCGCCTCGCGGCCACGAGCGGCTCGCTAACCCGGGTCAGCCAAAGGGGGTCTTCGCGGGATCCTGCAGGATCCGGTGCCCTGGCTGACCCCCGTTTGCGTTGGCCCCCGTCTCTTGAGCCCCGACTGGATCGTTTCTTGACGGCCCGGGGCACAGACTGTTCGGTGCCAACTCATGGGAGCCTCCCATGCCATCTTGGCGACTCTTGCGAGTCGAGCCTCATCGACGCTAAATCGACGCTAACTGACGCTAACTCGGCGCTAATAGACGTCAGCCGACGCTGATCGACGCTAAAGATAGAAGTGCGAGGGTACACAAGGCCCCCATGATTTGCTACCGACAGAAGGGGACCCCGAGGGCCCGAACACGGTGGAACAGCATCAGGATCCGTTTCCCTCAGGGCCCGTTCCCAGACGTCCTCCGACGTGGAGGAGGAGGAGGAGGAGGAGGAGGAGGAGGAGGAGGAGGATGAGGAGGAGGAGGAGAAGGAGGAGGAGGAGGAGGAGGGGGAGAGAGGAGGGAGGAGGAGGAGGAGGAGGAGGAGGAGGTCCCAACCCCTTCCTCAGGGCGGGAGTATTCCGCCCTGGCTCCATGTTGATGCCCCCAAGGGCCCCATAGCGGGCCCTGGAGGCCGAACTCAAGGAAGAGGCGCCGGTTGGAAAGAGCATCGGGCCACGAAACACCACGACGGACGGTTTTTGTTTGCTATTCTCGGCCCCAGGGGGCGCGTGCACAAGAGGGTAGGGGGAGGAAGGATTCTTAGAAGGAGGCTGCTTCGTTGAAGGCGCCAGCCTTACATCTACAGATCAGGCCCGTGCCACCTAAGAAGCAGCGTCCTTCCAAGAAGCCTTCCCCCTCCCCCTACAATCAAGCCGTATGATAAGGACGCACGATGAGGATGCAATGGCCTTGGAAGGCCAGGTCCGACACTTTGCGAGAGGGGCGCGGCCAGCGAAAGCAGCCAAGGATGGGCCGAAGGGGAAGGCTGCAAGGGCAACCTTGGAAAACTGCGCATCCTCACTGTGCGGAGGTGGACTGTATTACCTCCCTTCTGCGCGTGGCCGAATCACCGTGCCCCGGGACCGTCAAAGAACGACTCGGGTTATGTTGCCCCCATCGCACTTAAGGACCACATCCCAAAAACAATTCCGAGCGCCCCGAAAAACATCGAAACAAGGTCAAACGAGTCTCGCTTCCCAGGGCCCGGCACGTGAAAACCCTCAGACGTCGGTACTTCCTTGGTGCTCTAAAGTCTTTATGGTGATCAAGGCTACCCGTCGGTCGGAAGAAGTAGGTAGAGCCATGAAGTAGGAAGGCGGTGATAGTAGATTGGGTCTTCGCCCGCCCCCTGAAGAGGAGGGAAGAGGGGAAGCCACTCGACCATTGAAGTAGGAAGGCGCCTAAAATCGATTGGAATCTGGGAATCCCAAAGCATACCTACTTTCAACGGCCGATGGGTAAAGTAGCTTGGATCATCATGAGACTCGGGATGAAAACCCCGTCCCCGGGGGCAGAGGCCCAGAGCTCTCTGGGGGCCCAGGTCGTGGACAAAAGGCCATGACGCCAGGGGGACGGCCCCCGGAGGGCCCCCCCTGGCGGCCAAGAGGGGGAAAAAAGTGTAAGGCTCAAGCCAGCCCTCGCTGCTTCCCGCGGGTGGCAGACTTCGAAGGGGCCCAAGGACACATATATATATATATATATATATATATATATATATATGTGTAAATACATATATATATATACATATATATGTATATATATAATATTAGAAATGCCCACAAATCCTAAGATCCGAAATATTTTCTGGTATTTTCTGGGTATTCGTCTTCCCCCCCGCTTCCCATCTTTTCCCATATGTTCCTGGGAATTGGCGGTTGATTGTGTCTGTGTGGTTTTTCCCCTCCTGAGCCAAGTCAGCCCCCGCTGTTTCCAGCGGGTGGCAGACTTGGCGGGTTCCGGAAACCTTGAACCAAAGAACCTGGCCATCCCCTGGGGTGCCGATGCTTGCTTCCGCCGGCGCCCGCTGGCGGAGGCGGCCTCGCTGTAAACTTCCGACGGCTTCCACCCACCTTCCGCAGCCTTCCGCCGAGGAAGAGATGCCAACTCCTCCGGTCTTCGCAGTCAGGGCCAGTTCTGGAACGCGCCAGCTGGGGGCAGATATCTTGCGGGCGCCAATCACGGATTTCGACCGAGCTCCTTAGACTATATTCCCGCTCGCTGCCCCTGTAGCGCTTACCAAAGAGCTCCTGCGTACACACACACACACACACACGCAGCTCCTTTCCGCACCCCCTCCCTGCGCAATACGTATTCCACATCCTCCAGGGACGTCGCCACCTGACTGGACTACACACCAAGCCACCCCAACCCAACCCGAAATTGCCGTTGGACCTGCGAGAAAGCACCGTGGAACCCTTGCACCCCCCGACCCGATTTTTGTTGTTGTTGGGGGGGGTCTGGGACATGCAGGCTGGGTTGGTGTGGTTTGGTGAATCCCACCAGCCCTTTGGGCGTGAGTGGTTTAGAGAGCCCGCTCTGTCCTCAACCCCCCTTCTTCCCCTTCGGGGAGGGGTTTACCCCTCCCCCTACCCCCTCCCCCTGGGCCTGGACAGGGAGTCCCGAGTGTTCTCAGGGGGGTCTTTTTCGACTCCTGGGAGGGCCAAAAAACGACGACCCTCACGAGGATTCTGGCCCCGACGGGGGGGCCGAGTTTGGCCCCTCTCCTCTTCTTTGAACCCAAAATCATTGATTTTACTACGGTTTCTGCCCCATTTTGGCCTTCTGAAGGGGGCCGCGCTTCTCTTCCTCCATAGCAAAATCGTTGATTTTACGGAGGTTTTGGGGTCATTTTGTCCTTCTCAAGGGGCAGCGCTCATTTGCGCTTCTGAAGAGATCGCCAGAGGCCCCAAGATGGCCTCAAGAGGCCCCCAGGAGGCTCCCAAGAGGCCTCCAAGAGGCCCCCAAGAGGCCCCCAAGAGGCCCCAAGAGGCCCCCAAGAGGCCCCCAAGAGGCCCCCAAGAGGCCCCAAGAGGCCCCCAAGAGGCCCCCAAGAGGCCCCCAAGAAGCCCCCAAGAGGCCCCAAGAGGCTCCAAGAGGCCCCCAAGAGGCCCCACGAGGAGCCCGAACGACTCACACCAGGACGAGGGGCCCGAACGACTCACACCACGAAGAGCCCGAACGACTCACACCACAAGGAGGGGCCCGAACGACTCACACCAGGACGAGCCGCCCGAACGACTCACACCATGAGGAGCCCGAACGACTCACACCACGACGCGGGCCTCGAACGACTCACACCACGAGGAGCCCGAACGAGTCACACCAGGAGGACGGGCAGCGCTCATACAAGCCCCCCACGATGGCCCCCAGAGGTCCACCAGATGGCCCCTAGAGTTCCCCAGATGGCCCACAAGAGGTCCCCAGGAGGCACCACGAGGCCTCATGTTTCGCAAGAGTTGCTGTTTTGAGATGGGCTGGTGGGGATACGCGAAGCGTGAAGAATAGTAGCAGACTCGGGCGCGGCCCAACCGCCCCCAATTCAAACCATCCCCTTCCGTGACGTCCCCCTCGCCTCTCAAGCTTCCCTCAGGCCACATGCATACGTCTCGGGGCGAGGCGAAGGGGACGTCACGCAAGGCATGGTTTTCTAGGGGGTCGGTTCGGCCGCCCCTGCCAGACTGCTCCCACAGCCTAGTCGTCGTGTATCTCAGATGCCCCCCACGCGGCGACGCAGGGTGCCCCCCACCGCACCGCGCCAGAGGTCCCTCGCTGAGCGGCGCGCGCCGAGCTGCCGCAGGGCGAGAGGGGGCGACGGAGCGACCCGGCTGGCCAGTGGCAAAAGCTTCTCGCGTGGCTTGGAAGACGAAGCCAGGACGAGGATACAATCGGGTGGGGATGCATGGAGAATCTCCGAGTCCGGCGGCTCTGGAGGATGTCTCGGGAGCCGCGGCCTTCCCCGGAGCGTTCCGGAACGCTCTGGGAGCGTCACGGAATTCTCCGGAGCGGATTTCTCCTCGTCCTGGCCCCACCCGACATGAGGCATGAGAGAAAAAGGGTCCTGCGGGAAACGCTGGGTGAGCCCTCATGAGAGCCTGTGGTCCTCAGCGGCCCTATCATAAACGTGATATCGACCGGATGTAGTCCAGACTTCGACCAGGTGTCGTCCAGATGACGTGAGAAGATATCGTAGAAATGACGTTCACATTTCGACCGAATCCGAAAGTATCAGGAAGAAATTCCCCAAACCGCAAGGAATCTTAGGACCCCTTGATGCTCCCATGAAATAAAATGACCTCCCATGAAACGGGTCCTGGACCCAAAGGCTTTCCTGGGTCAGCTTCGCACCCCGAGAAGCCCGGGCAAGGCTCATGGAGACACAGAACTGCGACAGAATCACTGCCCTGAGAGCCTTTTCTTGATGTTGATGAGCCCTCCCCCTCCCCTCTCTTCTCTTGTCTTGATGGTGATGAGCCCTCCCCCTCCCGTCCCCTCCCGCCTCGACTGGGCCAGGAGAATGAAAAGACGCCCCCGCCTCTTCAGACTCCGCCCCCGGGCGACAGCCCACGGGTCTCTTGACAGGGAGGGGCAGGAGGCCAAAGAAGGGGAAACGGTGGACGTGAAGGTGGCTTCTCCTCCTCCTCCTCCTCCCCTCCTCCTCCTCCTGCAACGAAGCCTTCGTGGACGAACCGAACAGCGCGAAGGTCTCCAATCGCGACGCCTCCGGCTTGTCCTCGTCCAAATAATAGCCCTCGGCGCGCATGTTATGAGGGTGCGGCAGGCAGCCTCGAGAAGACATTGCAGGAAAGAAGCTGTTTCATCATTGAAGGTCCTGGAGGCAATCACCCACAAACACGTCACACACATACACACACCACACCCACCCACCCACCCACCCACCCACACATACACACAAAATGCACATCTTGTGTAGCCTGCCGTTGCGTTGCATTTGGCGGACCAGACGGTCACCCTGAGCCTCTGGTGAACAAGCGCACGAACAACTTCGCACGAAAAAACAGCACGCCAGCCCACCTGAAACGGTGCAACATCTGGAGACTGACATCGGATGCCCCAAAACCCCCACCCGCAACGTCCTCTACGGGGGTGGAGGCGGGGTTCGGGCCCCCGTGACGGGGGTGACGGTCACGTGGCGGGAGCGGGTACGGCAAGGGGAATAGTAATGGTAGTAGCAGCGCTGGCGCTGGCAGTGGCACCGGCCACGGCGACGCCGACAACAACCACTTTAAGACTGCTAGCTCTTCCCCGCCATCCTCGTCTTCGGTCGTGCCCCAATTGGGGTACGTCCTCCTTCCCTGCCACGCGTGTTTGGCGCAGGCCGCAAGACAGGGCAGCAGAGGATGGATGAAAGGAAGGGACAATGGGGGAGGAAGAAGGATGGAGCACGAGAGAGAATAGCAGGAAGGGGGCTACACCCTGCGAAATGCTTAAGAAATGATGGGTTAAGAAATTCATAGTCTCAGAACTTGAAGACAAACCCAGAATGTCAATTCATATCTTAGGATCTACACTGAAACATTAAGAATAATCGAGACCCGCCGAAAAAATAAGTTCTCTTAAGCATCGCCTAAGGTGTAGGAGGAGAAAGCACGTGGCAGAACGTAACTGGCTGGTCGGGCGGGAAGACCCTGAGGGGCAGGACGTGAGGGCGGACCCGGCCAGCTGGGTCGAGCAGGCGGGTCGCTGGCGCGTGAAGTCCTGCACGAATCGCGAGGACGTCTCGAGCGACGACGCGATTCCCAAGTAAATCGTGAGATAGGCCTCCTCCTCCTCCTCCTCCTCCTCCCCCTCCTCCTCCTCCTCCTCCTCCTCCTCCTCCTCCTACTCCTCCTCCTCCTCCTCCTCCTCCTCCTCCTCCTCGTGAATCGTGATTCCCGAGTGCCGAAGGCTCGGCGTCTGACTACATTACACGGAAGTGCCACGCGCGAGGGCGATTCCTGCATTGATTGCGAGGAGGCCGTACCGCCAGGCAGGCACCACTTGGAAAAGCGCCTCGGGCAAGAACCGCTGTTGCTGCAAACCCGGGGCCAACAACGCAATCTTAACCCCAAGACTGTTCCTTGTAAAAAAAAAAACAGGGTGCGAGCCACGGGAAGGCCACCTCAATTGAAACAACACACTTGGCACCGGGGAGGGGAATCAACAATAAAGATTCTGCAGAAGTGAGGACTCAACCGCAATAATTTTAAAACTGTTCGCACTTATCTGCACGCGGCACGCGTGCCATTCAGAAAGTGAATCCCAAACCCTCGATACCTGCCCTTTTCGTCTTCGATGGTGCCCCTTGGGGTTACGTCTGCCGTAAATACCACGCGTATTGGGCGCAGCCCGGACAACCAGGGGGATAGAGGAAGGAAGAAAGGAAGGGGCAATAGTAGCAATAATAATAGAGGTATCGGCCGTGGTACTTGAACAAATCGTGAAAAGAGTCGTCGTAGTAGCCGGAGAAATATAACAATTTGTAGTTGCAGCAGCATTAAGAATGATCGCGATCGTACATCCAACAGTATATACTTGTAATAGTCGTCGTCGGAGTAGCAGTGGTCGTAGTAGTCGTAATAATAACAATAATAACAGTCGCCATAGAAATAATAATAATAACTGTAGTAGTAGCAGTAGTAGTAGTAGTAGTAGTAGTGCTAGTAGTAGGAGTAGTAGTAGTAGTAGAAGTAATTAGTATAACTAAGAATACCACTAGCACTGGTGATTGTAGTAGTAGCAGTAGTAGTAGTAGTAGTAGTAGTGCTAGTAGTAGGAGTAGTAGTAGTAGTAGAAGTAATTAGTATAACTAAGAATACCACTAGCACTGGTGATATGACTACAAGTAGTGGTAGTGATAGTAATGGTACTAAGAGTAATAATGATAGTAGCTGTGGTAGTCGTAGTCGTAGTCGTAGTAATCGAACTCGTAGTCGTAGTCGTAGCAGGAGTAGTAGTAGTAGTAGTAGTCGTCGTAGTAGTCAAAGCAGTAGTAGTAGTAGTAGTAGAGTAGTAGTAGTAGTAGTAGTAGTAGTAGTAGTAGTAGTAGTCGTAGTAGTAGTAGTAGTAGTAGTAGTAATAGTAGTAGTAGTAGTAGTAGTAGTAGTAGTAGTAGTAGTAGTCGTAGTCGTAGTCGTAGTAGTAGTAAAAGTAGTAGCAGTAGTAACAATATTGGCCGCACTCAGCCTGCGCAACAAATCATTGGACATCAGATGGGCTTCTTTCGGGATGCTGAAGATTCCTGAAGGACGTTGAGGAATCCTGAGGAAACCGTGGCGATCTGGATGGATCCTGGGGACCCCTGAGGCATCTAAACATATCCTGAGGACACACGGGGGAAATCTCAGGAACTAACACGAAACCATCGGAATCCTCAGGATACCTGAGGTCCTCAGGTGCTCCCACGCGCTCCATGGCGCAACCAAGGGCAACCCCGGGCGCTCCCTGGCGCTCACAGGCGCCTTCAGGCGCCTCCACGCTGCCCCAGGCGCACCCGAGGCGCTCTATGGCGCTCCCAGGGACTCCCCGAGGCGCCCCCAGGCGCTTCCAAGCGCGTTCGCAAGCGCTTCCGCGCGCTTTCCCCGCGCTCTGAGGCGCTCCCAGGCGCTCCAAGGCGCTCCCAGGCGCGCCCCGAAGCGCGCGCCCAGGCGCCTCCCCAGGCGTTCCCAGGCGTCCCCAGGCGCTCCCCAGCGCACTGCCAGGCGCCCCCCGGCGCTCCCAAGCGTTCCTAGGCGCTCCCAGGCGCACTCCAAAATGCTGCGCAGAAGTTTTGAACCGGTGTTGTATCTGTTGCCCAGATGTTGTGTATACGTGTTGTGTTGATGTTGCGTATGGTTTGTAGGTGTGTTGTGTATGGTACTTACATGTGTCGTGTGTGTTGTGTGTGATTCGAATACGATTTGCTAATGTTCTGCAGATGTGCTGAGTGTGTGTGAAGCATATGTGTTGTGCATGATGTGCGTATATATGTACATGTTTCCTTCAGGTGATGGATTGGTAAAGGCGGGTGGCGTACATGTGTGTATGTTGTGTGTTCTGGTATGTGGTCTGCACGTGGCGTGCATCTGGTTTGTCGATCGTGCGCACATGATTTGCTATTGTGTTGTAAGCGTAATGAAACCATGTGTATCGTCTTGTGTTGTAAATGTCGAGTCTATGTTTGTATCCGTGGTGGATATGCTGTGTACGTGTTGCATGCGATTTGTATCTATCGCCCGTCTGATCCACATATGGATTGCATGTGTCGTGCAACTGGTGTAAACGTTGTGAATAGGTTTTGCAGATGTGTGGCATATAATTTCAATGTGTTGCGCATTAATGTGGCATGTGTGTGTGTTTGTCAGTGATGTGTACAAGTGCTGTATACGGTATGAACATAGTATGTGTATGTTGAGCATGGGATGTGTGCTTGCGTTGTGTATGATGTGTATATGGCGTGTATACGGTGTGCATATATATGTATATATATATATATACATATATATATATATATATTGCATACGGCATGTATAGTGTTTGAACAGGTGTTGTATATGTTCGGCTGTGTGTTGCACATGTTCTAGTGATACGTGCAGCATGTACTGCATCAGCTATATACATATATATATATATGTATAGACGCACGTCTACAAATGGTACTTGTGATATGCACCTCTTGCCCACGGTTTTGCATAGCCTCTTTATGTGGTGCGCATACGCATGTTAGTGTTCTGTGTGTTTGCATGTAGTTCCATATGTGGCGTAACTGATGTGTATCGGTTTGGTGTGTGGATTACGTATGATTTGACTCCGCTTTATATGTGTTGTACACGTGGTGTGTGTATTTATTCGCTGCACGTTTGGCGTCTGAGTTCGGTGCGTTGTGAATACATGCTTTTCAGTGTGCGTCATATCTGGCTTGCATATTGTTTTCATGCGTTCTGTATACTAGTCGCATGTGTGCCGCCAGGGTTGTATATGTTGTGTCTCGGTGGTGCACAGGTTGTGCATACGTTGTGTATGTTGCACATCTGTCTTGTTTGTGTTGAACACATACTTGGTCATACGTCTCGTACATGTGTTGCATGTGCGCTGTGCACGGTGCGCATTTGTTGTGCACGTGTACTGTGCATGGTTTGAAGACGTGTTACAGATGTTGCGCGTATGCCCCGTATGGTTTGCATGTGCCGTTGCAGACATCCCATGCCTGTGTTCTACATGGTTTGTATATGTGTTGTATGTGTGGCTGGTGCCGTGTTGTGAATGTGTGTTCTTCTTGTAAAAAATGTCATACGTGTTCCAGGTGCGTTGCATATGTTGTGCGCTCGTGATGTATGGTGTGTGTGTGTGTGCACTGTGTGCGTCTGTGTTGTATATGGTTGGTATGATGTCTTGTATATGATGTATGTATGGTGGTACATGTTTTGTTTGTGGTCTGTGCCTGTTTTCTTCGACTTTCTATAGACGTGTTGTATGTGCCTTGTATATGTTGATATATGTGTTGTAAATGTATATGTTGGGTTTGCTCCATGGTGGGTACGTGTGTTCTAAACGTGTGTTTATGTGTTGTATGAGTGTTGGGTGTTGCACATGTTTTGCGTATGGTGTGTACTTGTGTTGTGCACGTATTGTACGCACGTTCCGAATGCATTGCATGCGCTGTCAAATGTTAGTGCCGATGCGACTGCTAGATGTGTGATGTGTGTTATGTACAAATACATACATACCTATAAACAAAATTATATAATATATACACATCTATACCCGGTGTAA